GGAGGAGGAGGAGGAGGTTTGGAGCCGTCTGGGGGCCTGGAGTGGCCCAGCATTACCGCCCGGCAGCAGGAAGAGCGGGCGGGTCCGAGGTTCTGGGTTCGGAGGGGGGGGTTGTTGGCTTTCGGGCCCCAGGACCGTGACGAGCAGGTCCGCGGGGTGAGCAAAACTACACCCGGTGGGGCCCGGGAGGGGTCCGGGGACCGATTCCGAACTGATTTCGCTTCCTCCCCCCCTCCTGACCAATTTTCTGGGCACCCCCAACCAGTTCAGACCCCCCAGCGGCCTCCAAAGAGGAGGAGGAGGTCTTGAAGAAGCCAGCGGCCGTCCCAAGAGGAGACCGCCCCGAAGCCCGGTCCAGCACCGCCTGCGCCGGGCGGAGTGCACTGGAAGCGCGCAGGAAGCAGAGAAGGGTCAGCTAAGTCTGGCTTGGCGTTGCGTCGTGGCTTCCAGTATGCTGTGGTTTCTGCTTACTGTTCTATTTGTTATGACACTCCATCTTCCTTGAGACGTTTGACGAATCCATCTCCTTGATTCACTCGGACGTGGGAGCCTGTCTTGACTAGCATGGCCCGTCAAAGGTGCGTCCATAGAATAGCAGAGCATGGTCGGCTCAGGCAGTGCCCGAATAAGGCCTTTGCGGAGCCCCGCCTGCCCGAGGCTCCGCCGACGTCCCCGGCAGGGTGACGGTGCAGCTGGGCATGAACACCGCATCGATCCAGGCGAAGGTGGGCTGGCAAGCCGACAGCGGTTTCCGAGTCTCTCTGTCTGGTCCCCGATATATACATATATATATATATAGAAAAGAGAGAGAGAGAGAGAGAGAGACAGAGAGAAACGTATCATTCGCCGGAAGTTCTCTGGCATGTTCCTGGATAGAGAGAGCGAGAGAGAATTTTCGCCGGGCCACCGCTGCCAACGCGAAGGTAAGGTTTTTGCTCGCTCGTCGTTCCGCGTGTTCTTAGTACATGGCCCTTGCGCTGCCCACAGCCTGCGGCTCCGAGTCCGCGTCTGTCTTGGTCCGACCCTCGAAGGCCCATACAAAGGCATAGCGGTAATCTTGAAGAGCTCCGTGCGGATGTCTCGACTCGGCGCTTGGCCCCCCCTGGCGGCGCATCCGGTGCCGCCCTTGGAGCGCTTTCCGCGCCAGGGGAGGGATTCCAGCGCCGATCCAAGAAATCCATGCGGACCTTCGGGAGCTCATGTTTATGCCGTTTGCTGTTCTTCTATCTTTTCCGCCTGACGTCCCCACAGCCCTCTTGATACAAGCCCTGCCATGCCTCACAATTTGGGCCACGACAAGTTGGTGCCCCAAGAAGCGACTTGCTAGCATTAGCGTTCCTGCGGTCGACTTCTTTTCCAGTTTACCCCAGTTTGCCATTCTTGCCCTTAGGTACCACAAGGCGTCCCGCCGGCTCTTCCCTCATCCCTCCCGTCCCATGTTTCAGGAGTTGCGCCAATCGCACGTGGCAGACAAGGAAGATACCCCTAAAGAGGGAATGATCGAAGACGAAGATGGCGGGTGTCGAGGGTCGGGGAAATACATGTTGAATGACACGCGAGCGGGTAAGAGGGAGCAGTCTTATAATGTCTATTGCTGCTGAGTTCTCTGTGGTCAAGAAGTGTGTATGATTGATCCCCCTGTGCTGCCCCTGTTGTTTTCCAATTGAAGTGCCCTTGCCTTGGCGCGCATCGTTTTCAAACTAATGAAACTATTGAGCCTCAGACTACGTCGTTAGCCTTGGTTTAGCACAGCGACGGCTTCCGCCTGACATCTCTTTGCAATGTATTGAAGCAGTGGACTTTTCTTCGGGATTTACTTCGCTGCAATTGATCCAGAAATCGCACTGTCGGTTGATACTTCATTACAGTGTACCGCAGACGCCTACGGCGAATCACCGCCGCTCCCTGCCTTTTGGAAGCGCCTATGTGGCCCAACGTTGAGGCCAGACCTGTCACGCTATCGGACCATGTGTTCTCCGAATCGGGTTGGAAAGCCTTCGGAGAGCACGTGGGCATCTTGAAGGTCATCTTTGCCGCCTGGAGGCCATTTTGACCCTTACGGCTCTTGGACCGTCTTGGAGGCCATCTTGAGCGCCTGGGAGGCTTCTTCGGCCGTCTTGGGGGCCTCTTGGGGCCGTCTTGGGCCTCTTTGGCGATCTTTGGGGGCACTTGGACAGTCTATGGCCGTCGGAAGGCCGAAAGCAAGCAAATGCCACAATCCTTGAAACACTCAAGGGACATCAATGATTTTGGCATTTTCTGGCCTTCCTGGAGGCCTTCTTGGAGGCCCATTGGGCCGTCTTGGGCCATCTTAGTGCCATCTTCGGCCGTCTTGGTGGGCCCCTGGCCCGTCCGACGCCGTCGGAAGCCGTTTGGGGGGCCTGTTTCAGCCGACTTGAGGCCCTCTTGGACTGCTCCAGGGCCGTCATGGAGGCCATCTTGGGCGTCTTCAAAGCCTCCTGGGCCGTCTTGGGGGCCTCTTGGGGCCGTCTTGGGGGCCTCTTGGGCCGTTCTGGGGCCATCTTGGAAGCCTCTTGGGCGATCTTTGGGGGCTCCTGGGCCGTAACTATCGGGCCGTCGGAAGGCCGAAACGAAACAATGTCAACATCCTTTGAAAACCTTGGGGACATCAGTGTTGTTGTACCTTTGCTGACCTTCCTGGAGGCCCTCTTGGAGGCCGTCTTGGGCCAACTTCGGGCCAACTTCGGCCATCTTGGTGGGCTCTTGGCCCGTCTGATGCCGTCGGAAGCTGTTTTGGGGGCCTTTCTGGGCCGACCTGGGGCCCTCTTGGGGTGTTCCAGGGCCGTCTTAGAGGCCATCTTGGGCGTCTTGGAGCCGTCTTGGGTCGTGTGCGTGCTCTCTTGGGGCCGTCTTGGGGGCCTCTTGGGCAGTCCTGAGGCCATCTTGGATGCCTCTTGGGCGCTGTGGGGGCGATCTTGGAGGCCTCTTTGGTCGTCTTGGGTCGTCGGAAAGCCGAGAAGAAGCGAATGCCAAAATCCTTCAAAAGCCGATGGAACATCAACGAGTGCCTCGTCGGGCCCTCCCAGGACCTCTTGGAGGCCTCTCTGGGGCCTCTTGGGCCGTCTTGGACTCTCTTGGGCCGTCTTGGAGGCCGTCTTGGACTATCTTGGGTGGATTTGGAGGCCATCTTGGACCATCTTGGAGGCCATCTTGGGCCAACGTGGCCATCTTGGGGGCCATCTTGAGCGACAAATTGGGGAATTGTGCTCCTTGAGGTCCTTTCCGGGTGGCCGGCGGGACGGGCCGAAGCCCCAGGGGGAGTTCTCTTGGAAAAAGAACCAAAACCAGAACTGAAGGGTTCAGCATGCCAGGCACCCCTGCGACGAATCGACAGGGGGCGGCGGATCGAATGGCCTTCGGCCCATCCCGCCACCGTGCATGGGTTGTGGGTTATAGGTCTCTGGGATGTTCGCTGGGATGTCGCTGCATGCAGCAGTGTAGTTGCGCGTGGATCGTTGCACTCTTGCACTTCATCACCTCATGTCGCACCACCGTTGCGACAGATGTGGCATCTTCCACGCGGGCCCATCAATACAGAAGCAGGATCTCAATCGTGCAGCTGGAACCGGTTCTGAACCATTCGGGGAGATGATAGCACCAATCTTCGATTGTATCGCTCGCGCTTCGGATGGCTTGACGCCGAAATGAGTGGCATATGATACGATCGTCGTGCGAGGCGCATGCTGATTTGTCCAGCACCTGCTGGCGTTGCACGAGTCACATTGCATGTCAAGTATGTCTCTCCTTTTTGCCGCACTTCCGAACTGCCATGCTGCATGTTCTCGTCACTACAGCTTCTACTTCGCACTCCACGGACAGGTGAAAATAGTATAGCCTATACAATGCTGGCTTCGCCCCACGCTCGCCTACCTCACATACGTTCCACTTCGTCCGTCTGTCCACGCTGCACTCCTCGCGGGGGCTAGAGCGTGCATCCTTTTTCCATATTGTCCTGCCTGCCGCAATGGCAGGCAGGTTGGGATGCAGCTCGTGGGGCGGTTCAATTCAGCATCGGCGCTTGCACCTCCTGGCCGAAAGCCAGACCAGCACGACACCATCCGGCAACATTCAGTTTCATCCGGCCGATTCCAGCTTGGTATTGGGTCCAATCTTTGGACGCCCGAAATGGGCACGGACAACATGCGCACGATGTGCAACAACCGATGTTGTCCAAAACCAGTAGCTGCTGCTGTTGGGCATGCAGCCTTCTGTCTCAAACGGACACGCCCCGCAGCGGCACCGACAGAAAATCCGGTTCAAGATGAGCACGAAATGCTGTCGGTCTTCGTACCCATTCTTTCCATATTCATCTCGATCGTACCGCACTCTTCTGGCCGAGTGTCGCTTCCTTTTGGCCGAATGGCCGTTCCGTCGGTCTTTCGACGACCGACCTCTCCCGGGAGCTGGCCCTCACGGCGGGGGGGGGGGCGTTCGACAAGGGGCGGGCCCAGGAGGCGCGAGGCCCTGGAGGATCCCTCCTCGGATGCGGGCGGATCCAATGTCGGACGCCTAGAGGTTGGAACCCACACCAACATCGGCGGAGCGCCTCCACAGAGGGAAGACGATCCCGATCTCGGTGATGGTGGCAATGCTGAGGCTTCCTGGGTGGCCAGCTGATTACCACCAGCACCAGCATGTAGGATCATCTTCCCTCGGCGGCGTTTCTCCTCAGGAGAGGAGGCGGCGGAGGAGGAGGAGGAGGAATATGCTGGAATATGCTGAAAGCGCACGCACGTGCTTCGCAACCAGGGGCAAAGGAGCGCAAGTAAGCGGCAGGTGGCGCCGACTGCACGCGAGCTCTCCACGAAACGACACCGCGTTGGGTGCCACCCCATGCCTCCCACCAGGCACGGTCCCCAGGCGGCCTCCACAAAACGGGCCAAGGAGGAGGAAGGGAGAAGAAGAGAAGCAACTGCAGCCACATGCCATTGTGCCGTCACGGGGGTCTTCAGCCCACCACAGCAGCAAAACTCCTAACTCCACCTCCAGCTCGCAGGGCCAGCTAGCTCGCCACCTACCACACGGTTTTCTGAGCTGCGTCCGCCCCGTAGGGCTCAGATAACGACACCACCGTGCCGCCCCAAGCCACCCGAGGGGGCGCCACTCCCCTCGGGCGACTCCGCACCCCCACGCACGCCAGGGCGGGGCACCCTGGCCGTGGGGGGGATGGGTGCGGGGTCCACCGATGAGCACCCTGCAGGGGACCCGCTCCCCCGCCCAGGCGCACGCGGTGTACGTGCCGGGCCACCGCAAGGAGGGAGCTGGCGACGAGATGCATTTTTCTCTCCCCCTGGCCCCTACGGGCAAGCAGGGGTGACGATCGGGCTGCTACCCGCCTGTTTACCCGCCTCCTCCTGGCCCCTACGGGCAAACAGGGTGACACAGGTGCCAGGAGGAGGAGGAGGAAAGGAAGGAGGAGGATTGAGGAGGAGGAGGAGGGAGGAGGAGGAGGAGGGGGGAGACAGAAATGGAGGATGAGAGGAATGAGGAGAGGAGGAGGAGGAGGAGGAGGAGGAGGAGGAGGAGGAGGAGGAGCAGGAGCAGCCCTTCTCAGAAGGCGGCGCGGTCTCTCGGAAGGCCTTCGACTTTCGAGAGGTTCTGCCTGTTCTTCGGGCAAGGGCTGGGAAGCTCCTCCGAAGGCTTGAGGTCTGCCCAGTCTTCTGAGAAGGCCCGCCCCCTCTGCATTCCCCCCTGAGCAGCCGCGGACCAACGGTCCAATGATTCCTCGTTTTTTATTTGTTGCACGGACTTCAAGCTAAAGCACACGGCTTTCTGAGATGGTGTCACAAAAAGCCGACTTAGGCCAAAGACAAACAGCAAATTACGCCTGGCTGGTGCAGCAGGAACCTGAGAGGGCGGGCAGCACAAGCAAAGCATGGAGCCTGAGTGGCGCACAGCAGGCGCCAGCCAGGCCGTGGGAGGGCAGAGAGACCAAAGCGCGAGCGAAAACCCTAGGTATACAACCTCAGCCGAGACCGATGCGAAAGCGATCCCGCTCCAACACGCCCTCACAGAGAGTGGCAGGGCAGGGAGCCGGCCCGAGGTGGACTACCTCCTGGTCTACCCCCTCATCACGCGCCAGTGCGTCCCGGTGCTGCCCGCGCTCCCCCCGGAGGCCTCCCGCCTGTCCCCGCCGCCCGCGCCGCCGCGGCCGCGGCCGCTGCAGGGCGAGGAGAGGGGAGGAGGGAGGAGGAGGAGGAGGAGGGGGAGGAGGAGGAGGAGGAGGAGGAGGAGGAGGAGGAGGAGGAGGAGGAGGAGGAGGAGGAGCTGGGTCGAAGGAGGGACAACGCCACATGATCATAGACTGTTGGCGCTCCGCGCGGGTTTCTTTTGGATCCGCGCTGGGCCCCCCCGGCGGCTTCTCTGGCGCCGCCCCGGGCGCGCTCCGCGCGCCAGGGGAGGGGGGTTCCGCGCAGACCCAAGCAATCCGCTCGGAGCGCCAAAAGTTTATGTTTATGGTGTTTGTGTTACTCTTCGATTGGAGGGCGAGGAAAAAGTAGCAATACCGCCACCCGTGCCTCGTTTTTGTGTTTGGGGGCCTGGGAGGCGCTCTTCGCCACCGCTGGATTCACCTTTTTAAAATTCTTGGCAAAACGCACCGGGAGAGGTCGATGGAGTAGCGGTGTCGGTACCTTCTGATTTCTCCAGAGTTGGAGGGCGAGGACCATGATGATCGGCACGAGCGGAATACCGAAAGGACGGGGACAGAGACCGCCGGCAGTTTCTGCCCGTTTTGAGCAGGGCGTGTTATTGGTGCCGCCGCCGTGGATGTGAGTCATTTGAAAACAATTCCTCATGTCCAACAGCGGCTGCTGTCGGTTTTGAAATACGTTGGGTGTGGTGGGCATCGTGCGCATCTTCTTCGTGCCCATGTCGGGCGTCCAAACAAACAGGAAGACGAGGAAAAGGATGGTTCGGGTGCCAGTGAGGACGCTGCTTGAAAGACAAGAGGCGATAATAACGATGAGAAAGAATAGGAGGAGGAGGTATACAGATGAAACGAGGGTTAAGACCACCCTTCGCTGGAGGGTTGCTAGGGGGAGGAGGGAGGAGGATACAGATGGCAAGGAGGGGTGCCCTTATGTTCATCATGATTGGCTTCTCCACCTTGGAATGCTTTTCGTATAGTCATCGCTATGGGGCCCTGGGTCATCTGCGAAGGGACTCGTGTTCTTGACTCCACGCTCTTTCGGCCGCGTTTTTCGATTGCAAAGAGGAGGGGCAGGTGAGGAAAGCAGGGAACGGGGAGGCAAGGGCGGGGAGGGCGGGGAAGGAGCTTGGGGAAGAGAGAGAGAGAGAGGGGCAGAGCCTTGGCATCGCTCGGGCGGGTGCATTTTTTCAGCGAGCGCCACCGAGGAGCACATTGGATCATCGTACCTGACCAAAGATAGAGGCTCGACATCGACGAGTGCACGGGGAGCGAGCGCTCGAGCGTTGGCGAGAGGAGGGAGACTGGGCGAGGGGGCAGGGGGATGCATCCTCTGCCTCGCTCGGGTAGGGGGGCGTCCCGTGCTCCCAGAGCCCCAACTGCTCGTCCTTCTCTCGCACTCCTCCCTCCTCCTCTCGGGCGATCGCAACCCTGGATCAAGGGGGCGTGGTTTAGCGACGGGTCCCGTTTCCATGGGAAATCGCGTGTTCCCGCCGCCGAGCGAGGCGGCACAGGCCGCATTTTGGGGAGGGGCACCTATGGATTTGGCGGCCGCGCACCAAATCCATGGATCGCTAATCCATGTTTGCGCGCCCCCGATCCTCTTTCCTGGTGTCGAGGAGCATCTTGACTCATCCTGCGAACAGACACGCGCACGACATCGAACAAGGCACAGGGAACGGAGGTCCGAGCGATGGCAAGCTTACTCCTTCCCCCTCCCCCTCCCCCTCCCCCTCCTCCTCCCCCTCCTCCTCCTGCTCCTCCTCCTCCTCCTCCTCCTCCTCCTCCTCCTCCTCCCCCTCCTCTCCCTCCTCCTCCTCCTCCTCCTCCTCCTCTCCTCCTCCTCCTCCTCCTCCTCCTCTAGCTCATCGTTGTCCCTCTCCCTCCCTCCTCGCCCACCTAGTCCTCATCATCATCCCCTCTTCCCTTGCCCCCCCTGGCATCGCTCGGACGTGTGATTGTTGTACTCGGCGAGGGCCCTGGAGGAGCATCCTGGAGCATCTGGCAGAAGAGCAGCACGCACGAAATCGACAGACACACGGGACGTGGACGTCGGAGCCACAGCGAGGCCCAGTCCTCTCCACTCTCCAGCTCGTCCCCCCTACCACTCGCCTCCTCATCCTCCTCTCCCTCATCCTCCCCCCCCCCTCCTGCCATCCTCCCCAGCCTCATCCTCAGGAGGAGGGAGGAGGGGAAGGAGGGGGAGGAGGAGGAGGAGGAGGGAGGAGGAGGAGGAGGAGGGGGAGCAGGAGGTGGAGGAGGAGGAGGAGGAGGAGGAGGAGGAGGAGGTGGAGGAGGAGGAGGAGGAGGAGGAGGAAGAGGAGGAGGAGGAGGAGGAGGAGGGAGGAGGAGGGAGGAGGGGGGAGGGAGGAGCAGGAGGCGGAGGAGGAGGATGAGGAGGAGGAAGAGGAGGAGGAGGTGGAGGCTGTTGCTGCTACTGCTGCTGCTGCTGCTGCTGCTGCTGCTGCTGCTGCTGCTGCTGATGCTGCTGCTCCTCCTCGCCCCTCCTGGCCCCGGCCCCTGCTTTCCCCCACGGGAGTGCCAAGAAAGATCGCCATTGACACGACTTCCCTTACGATTAAGTCGGGCCTGTTCTCCTACAGGGAGATTTGGGACGAAAGATTCAAAATAGCAAAAAAAAACGAAATAGTCAAAAGATTACGTATCAAAAAATCGTCCGTAGTTGTTGTCGAGTCGTCGCCGCCGTCGTGTTTGTCGCCGATTTCACGCCGTCGTTCGCCTCTTCCGCTTCCTCGCTCTTTGTCCTCGGCGTTTTTCGTCGTCGCCATCGCCCGCACCCTTCGGGTTGACCCACAAGGGATTCCAGCGACAAGGGGGTGGTGCAATAGTTCTGGTGCAATAGACTTGTGGGGTTGCAGTACATGTGGGGCGTGAGGAACGTTCCAGAGCGCAAGCGTACTGCTGGACTGTCGCGTGCAGTACATTACTTGCAATGCAGTGCAGCACAATGTTCCGGAGCAGCGCATTTGCAATACCATTGCCCCGAATTCCCTCCACCTGGGGTGGAGGAGGAGGAGGAGGAAGAGAAGAGAAGAGGAGGAGGAGAAGGAGGAGGAGGGGGAGGAGGAGGGGGAGGAGGAGGAGGGGGAGGAGGAGGAGGAGGAGGAGGAGGAGGAGGAGGTGAATTTCCCGCCTCCCAGCTGGACCCCCTTTTTGGGCCACCCCAAGACCCTCCCGGGGGGGGGGACCTCCGCCGCTCCCCGGGCCCTGCGCGCCCTGCAGGGAGGCCCGCGGGAACAGGCCAGGGGCCCTCGCCAGGAGGCAGCTCCCTGGAGAGTCGCTGGGGCTCTCTGGCGGTCCTCCCAGGGTGCAGTCGGGCATGTCCCTCTACAGGAGGAGTGCGCAACAGTAGTCCAGGAATCGTCTGGGGGCGATGCTTTGAGCATCCTTGCGTATTGTTGGAGCCTCCTTTGACTGCTTCTGTGATTTGTCCTCGAAATCCCGCCTGTAGGAGGACGCGCCCGACTTCAGAATTGCCCGGGGTCGGGGGCTGGTCATCCTGAGCCGCTTTTGCTATTTTTTGAGTAGTTTTTACTTTTTGTCCCGTATTTTGTAAATATGTTCGCCCAACGTCCGCCTGTGAGGGGGCCGTCCTCGATCTTAGCCTAGGGGCCGACGGAGGCCCCCCGGAGGCCACTGGACTTGGCACCGCCCGGACGCGTGTGCTTGTTTTTCCCGGCGAGGTCAGCCGATCTCCTGGCCATCGTGGAGCCTCCCGGGCCAATCTCGAGAGACGGCCGCGCGCGCGAAGCCGAGCAGCGCGCGGAGAATGGACGTCCCAGGAGGAGGAGGAAGAGGAGGATGAGGAGGATTATGAGGAGGACGAGGAGGAGGTGGAGGAGGAGGAGGAGGATTATGAGGAGGAGGAGGAGGAGGAGGATTATGAGGAGGAGGAGGAGGAGGAGGAGGAGGAGGAGGAGGAGGAGGAGGAGCAGGAGGAGCAGGAGGAGAGATGAGCGCCCCAGAGCGTGCGCAGCAGGAGGAGAGGGAAGAGGGGGGAGGGCGGAGGAGTAGTGAGGGTGAGAAGCGTGGGGGCGCCAGTTCGCGGAGTGAAAGATATGCGGAGGCATGGGAGCGGAAGGGACCCCTTCGCGCGATGCGAAGCTGAACTCCCCTCTCATCACGCTCCCAAGCCGCCACGCAGACCGTCAGAGCCCCAGATCATCAGGGGTAATTCGGGTCAGGGCTAACTCGGGCTCGTTTTTCGGGAATCCGAACCCGAGTTACCCCGGACCCGAGTTACCCCGGATAACTCGGGCGTCCAAGACCGTGAGTGGGAGGTACAGGCGGCCCAGATTAGTAGGTCGACCCTGCCAGCTCAAGGGTACCCCTGTGTCCTGTGCCTCGCGACGCATGCCTTCTCACGGTCCTGTGGCGATGTGGCTTTCGGAAGGGTCTTGTGTCCTCTCGCGTGGCCTCTCCAATCAAGTCCGACTATAGCTGACCGCGACGACGAAGGAGCAGGGAGGTGGGAGGAGGGAGGTGGGAGGAGGGAGGCGGGAGGTGGGAGCAGGCAGCAAGGAGGTGACGGAGGAGACGGAGGAGGGAGGGAGCGAGGGAGGGAGGGAGGAAGGAGGAGGAGGAGGCAGGAGGAGGAGGAGCGAGAGGGGTGGAGGCCATTGGATGGCACCGCACGCCTCCCCTTTGCCGGCCCTCTCCCAGAGGCCCCCCCCCCCCACAGGTCTGCTTCGGGCTGCTCAGCAGCCTGGCGATCCCGACGCTCGGCAGGAGCCCCCCCCCGCCCCGCCTCCTCCCCGGACCTCTGTGCACACCCACGAGCCACGACCTCAGCCAAGGGGATTTTTCGGGAGACCCCTCAGGGGGGGCACCCGTCGACCTCGACAGGAGTTCTCTGGTTGCGGTTGTAGTCTATCTGGCCATCCTGGGACTCCGCATCGGCCATGACAGGTACTCAGCTGGCTCCGGTGTTCCGGCGATCCTTGGCATGCGCAAGCATCCCCCAGGGTGTGTCCTCGACGTGGTTGTGGTCGCTTGTTGCCCCCGCGCAGAGCCCCTCGGGGCATGACAAAAATCCTGCTATTACGAAGGGGGACGCTGAATGGGGGACGGCGACGACGACGACGACGACGACGACGACGACGACGACGACGACGACGACGGTGGTGGTGGTGGTGTCGACGGTGGTGGTGTTGGTGACGACGGTGGTGGTGGTGGTGGTGGAGTGGTGGTGGTGGTGGTGGTGGTGGTGGTGGTGGTGGTGGTGGTGGTGGCGGCGGCGGCGGCGGCGGCGAAGTCGCGGACGTGGGTCAGAGTCTTCAAGGATGCTTCCTGGCGTCTTCGGAGTACTCTCAGAGGCATCTGGGGGGTAGTTTTAGGGCCGCTTGGGGGGAGCCTCTTGGAGCCTCTTGGGGCCTCCTCGGAGCCTCTTGGGGCCGAGGGCTCGAAATGTCCGTTCGGCCTCCCATAGTGCCCCAGTGCTCTTGCGAACACCACCGTGGGCTTGCGAGCACCACAGTGCGCGCACTGCGAGTCTGCGAGCACAACAGTGCGGTTGCTACCACCACGCAGCGTGTTGAGTGGCCGCTAAGCGTTGCACGGTAGTGTAGATCATCCTCTTCATCTCCCCGTTCCTCCTTCTCTTTCTGTTCCTCCTCCTCCGCCTCCTCGTCCCTCTCCCCATCCTCCTCGTCCCCCTCCGGCCGAGGCTGCGAGTGTAGCCCGGCCACAGGGAGTCTCAACCACGGGACGAAAGGGGATTTGTTTTGCGGCCGCGGAGGGCCTCGAACATCCGCACGTGCCACGACGATGGAGCGAGGCACTGCCCATGAATGAGCTCATAGAGCAGGCGGACGGCGGTGATAAGCAGGGCAACCGAAGACGACAACGACGACAGGAGGAGGAGGAGGAGGAGGAGGAGGAGAAGGAGGAGGAGGAGGAGGAGTTTCAGACACGACGGCTCACGCAAGATGGCGCTTGCCCAACGCAAAAGGAGGAGGGGAAGGAGGAGGGGACGGAGGAGGAGGAGGAGGAGGAGGAGGAGGAGGAGGAGGAGGAGGAGGAGGAGTAGGAGTAGGATGAGGAGGAGGAGACGGGACACTCCCGCAGGATCGGGTGCACCTCGAAGGCCTTCTCCACATCCGTCTTCCAGGACGGGCGCGGGAGGCCGCGGGGAGTCTATGCCCCGGCGCCGTCCTGCGCCTTCCCGGGGGGCTGGTCGCTTATTTTCAGTGAGAAGAAGAAAACAAACCCAACCCCAATGGCACAATGAAGACGTCTTTGCATCACTAGGGAGAACGAATCCGGTGGTTCGGTTCGATACAACTGCTGCTGAATTCGGGGGGGAGGTCGCCCAGAGCGTGAGCCCTGGAATGGGAACGGGCTTCGTCCCCCCTTCCCCCGTCCTCTCCTGGGGCGGGGAACATCGCCCCGACGGGGAGGAGGAGGGGGAGGAGGAGGAGGAGGAGGAGGAGGAGGAGGAGGAGGAGGAGGAGGAGGAGGAGGAGGAGGAGGAGGAGGAGGTGGAGGAGGAGGAGGAGGGGGGGGAGAGGAGGAGGAGCAACATGAGTGCTCCCCCTCCTACGCTTCAGCACGTTATCACCATCCTCCGCCTCCACAGCTGCCCTCATTACACGACTTCTGATCTCCTCTGTCGCCTGTGCGCCAGGAGTGCTCCAGCCTCTCCCGCGCACGGCTTCTGGTGCACAGGATCCCCAGCATCTGTTTGCGGTATGTTTTTTTGTTCCTCGGGCTGCTTTCGTTCCCTCAAAAGTTTCCATCCAGCAGCATTGGCGCCACCCCGCCTCCCTTCTGCCCGACTGCCGATCTGAAGGCGCAAAAGTCTGTCAGACGCCGCCCTCCCCCTCGCCAGGAGCAGTCGGCCCTGGCGGGTTGTTCAAACCAAAAGCCACGCGACTCGTAGAGATTCCGCTCCAGGAGGCGGAAGGGGGAAGAGTAAAATAGTAAAAAATAGTAAACAATAGTGGGGGGAATGTTCAAAATAGTAAAAAATAGTTTGGGGACATTTCTTTCTACCATTTTGGGGCAATTGTTGCGCATTTTGGGGGCATCTTGAATTCTTCGCTCCAGATCCGCCTGTAGGAGGACACGCCGGAGATTTCTCCGGGGTCGGCGGCTGGCCATCCTGAGCCGCTAGCTGGCGATCCCGGGGGCCAGGCGAGGCGTTCCAAGCAGAGCCCTGTCTTCGAGGATGGGAGGAGCTGTCATCTCTTCCTCGGCGGAAGGGCGGCGGAAGGTCGGCGGAAGTACAACGAGGCCGCCTCCGCCGGCGGAAGCCCGCGGAAGGCCGGCGGAAGGCGGCGGAGGTCAAAGATGCGCCCCCCAGGAGATGAACACGTCTTTGGATTCAGGGTTTCCGAAATCGCCCGGTGTCGGCGGCTGGTTCATCCTGAGCCGCTTTCTGACGGTCCTGCAGGGGCCAGGTGAGACACCCTCGGATGCAGGAAGCTGCTGGAGGCCGCTCAAAACGACCAACGACAACGATATACGATACAACGACAACGAGGTCAATGAGACCGATCACAACGATCAACGATATCAACGATATCAACGATGACGATCAACGATAACCACGATAACAATCACAACGATAAACGATAGCGATCAACTGACGATCAATGATCAACGATAACAACGACAACGATCACAATGCTAAGCGATGACGATCAGCGATCAACGATCAACGAACAGCGACAACGATAGCGAGAACGGCATCGCTGTCCTTCCTAATTGTTAATTGAAACGTGGTTTGATAAATCTCGTATGCATTCCACTATTTCTGGATATTCTTTCGCGACCCGAAGTCTTTCTCCTCGACCTGTTGGGCGGCGGAGGCTCGGCTCGGCGGCGGCGGCGGCGGAGCGCCGGACGCCCGACGGCCCTGCTGGTGCTTCGGAGGGCGCGGCGCGGAGGGCCCGACGCCTTCCCGCCCCCCCCCCCCGGGGGGCTCGTGTCGAGTCGGGCGTGCGCCCCCTTCTGCGGGGGGGGTAGCCAAGAAGAGGCACTCCATATCGGGGCTGCACAGGACCTCCTGCCCCGACACGTCGATGAGGGAATTGGCCGTTTTCGGTTCGCGAGAGGGCGTCGCGGCCGTCATTTCTGCGGGTCCAGGTCCGTAGGTCCGTCGTGTTCGGTCCCGGGTCGTTTTCACTGAGGGGAGGTCTACGAAAGGGAGGTTTGTCCACCGCCGAAGGAAAAACCAAGAGCAGGCACCACATAGTCCTGGGGGCGATTGTTTGCATTTTTCCGGGCACTCTCTTTGGGTGGAGGGCGAAGGGTGAAGGCTGGAATGCCGTTCCGATTGATTTTCAAGGTTTGAGGTTGCAAAGGGTGAGTCACAGGACGGATTGATTTCCGAGGTGCAAGAGCCCGCATGGATTTCACCCTGAGCCCTCCACCCTGAGAAAATGTTCAACTGTTTGACTGGTTAGGTGCATTTTGGGGTATGAATTTGTCCTCCAAAATCCGCCTGTATGGGGACATGCCCGACCTGGGGCTCGTTTCGATTTCTCCGATTCGATCCGATTCGACTTCGATGGCTTCCGATGCCAATCCGATTCTGCTTAGGATTCCGATTGGGGTTCCTTTCTCTTATTGGAGAGGCGCATTCGCCTGCCGATTTCCGCCGATTCGGCTTATCCCGACTCGGCTGCCGATTTCCTCCGATCCGACGTATTTCGATTGCCGATCCGACTTCTCGATTCTATTCTGGGCTCTCCTGCCTTCCCCGGCGCCGGCTTTTGCCGCGCCGTCGCGGACGCGGTGCACTGAAGACAGACAGCCGCCTGCCCAACAGCGTCCGCTGTCGGTTTTGGACAACCTTTGACGCTAGGCACTGTACCCATTTGTTCCGTATCCATGGCCGAAGGCCCAAAGTCTGAACGATCCTGGACCCCCGAGAACGGGCCTCGGAGACCGACAAATCCGTCGGGGGCGGCAGAAGAGGGGGCGATGCCTTGGGGGGGGGGGGATATCGTGGCGGGGGCCATGATATCAGGGCGCCTCCATCTTATTGCAATACGGCCCTGGCCCCCCTCCCCCCCTGGGCCGCGCCCCCCCCCCCCCTCCTCTTCGACGTCCCGTCTTGGACGCCCCCGGATCCAGGGAAACCGCCAGGATGGAAGCCAAAAGCATGCCGTCGGAGAGCTGGGCTCCGCCGCGGCCTCTGGCGGCCGTCCGAGGACGATCATGGCTTTCGCGGAGCGCCCTCGGCGAGGCACGGCTGCGGGGCAGCAGCTTGAGGCGACAAGACCTCACGGGGCCAACGGGAACGCCCGCAGGCACCGCCCAGGCTGGAAAACGCACACATCTCCGAGGCGTGGGTTTATCCATAATTACCACCGCTCGGCGGAGCGATCTTTGGGGACCTCGGCAGGTGCCAGATGCTCGGAAGGGGGGAGGAGCGATGCCAACACACCACCAGGGGGCCCACCTCCTGCGAGGAGGTCCACGACGCCTCCCCGAGCGAGAGACGGGAGATGCCTCGAGCGAGAGGGGGGGGGGCCACACCACCAGGTAGACCCCCCCTTGCCTCCGCGCATCCCCTCGCCCTGTCGGTGTCGGTGGCGCCTTTCCCTTGTTCCTTGATGCGGATCTGCTCGACCTCCGGGCCCCTGGCGCGGACAGACATCCATGGCCACCGCCCGCTGGGGTGCCCAGGGCGTGGGTTCCCTGGGCGGTGGCTACTGTGCAATTCCCCGTCTCCGGGGCCGCGGCGGCGGAGAGGCGGCGGTCCGCCGCCGCAGAGGACGACGTGCTGTGGTGGCGCGTGCTGCTGGCCCTCCCGCAGAGCGACGCCCTGCGCGCCGCGGTGGCGGCTGCCGAGGCGGCCACCTCCCCGCCCACGACGACGGCGTTGTCCACGGCGTCGCCGCGCCGATGACGGCGACGAGACGGCGACGGAGGAGGAGGAGGAGGAGGAGGAGGAGGAGGAGGAGGAGGAGGAGGAGGAGGAGGAGGGAGGAGGAGGAGGGATGAGAAGGAGGAGGCGGAGGAGGAGGAGGAGGCGGAGGAGGAGGAGGGAGGAGAAGGAGGAGGAGGAGGAGTGAGGAGAAGGAGGAGGAGGAGGGGGGGGGGGGGTGGAGGAGGGGGAGGGGGGAGGAGGGAGGAAGGGGAGCAGGAGGACTTATGCGCCTCTCGTCCTCGCCCCTCCTCCTCCCCCTCCTCCTCATCCTCTTGCTCCTCCCGTTCTTCCTCCATTGCCTTTTTCCCTCCTCACATACATACTGGGCCATCAGACGCGAACCCTTCGATGAATGGGGCCTGCTTCCCCCACATGGTTGAAGTACAACGCGCACCTGCTCCCAGCGGGCTCCCTAGAACACCGCAGCTTCCGCCTAGGCCGGTGCCTGCAGGGAGTTCAACCCAGGTCTGCATGCGGGCGGACGGCCATTAGGCCTCTCGTCCTTCCTCCTCCCTGATCCTGGTCCTCCATCGGCCTCCTCTTCGGCTACATGCCTTCCATCAGCGGCACGCTCGCACCGCATTCGAAGCACACGGCGTGCCTCCGCGTCGCGTTGTTATCATTCAGAGTGGTGGGGCCGTTCTGTCCTGTACCGTCCCTGGTTGCGTGACCAAATCGCGGCGCGGATTGTGGTTGTTTGGTTGTCTGTCAGTCAGTCTATATGTCTGTCTGTTTGTCTGTTTGTTTGTTTGTTTGTTGTTGTCTTCGCCCGCGACCCAACGGAGACCCACCCCGCGACCCACACCGCGACCGATTGACTAAAAGTTGATGCCTGCGGCGGGCCCCTCGAGCAAATCGTAAGCCATCGGCGCCTGCGGCGGGCTCCTCCAGAGCCTCGATGACTATCGACGACGCCGCCGCCCCTCAGCCTGATCCGCAACTGCGGGGACTATGGTACTTCTGGCTTGCGTCAGGGTTCTTTGCAGAAGATCGCGCGACAGCCGCATTTGGCATCCACTCTGTCCAGGTTCCTCCTCCTCCTCCTCCTCCTCCTCCTCCTCCTCCTCCTCCTCCCCTCCTCCAGTTACACGCACTACTTCTCCTCCTCCTCCTCCTCTTCCTCTTCTGGCTCAAGCCAGTGTGCTCCTCGCACCGTCCCGCGCAGCTTCGCAGGCTGCTGACGACCCCGACGCCACCTCACGCCCTGATCCGCATGTTCGGGGGCTGTTAGCTGCCACTGCTTCCTCCTGCTCTCTCCTCGAGGAGAAGACCCCAAGAGGAGGAGGGAGGAGGGAGGAGGCGCCGTAGCCATTTTGGCTCAAAACTTTGTTTACATGTATCTCCTGCATGCTGCATTTGTCTCCATACGGCACGGGGTGTGCTTCGCCGCGCGCTCTCTTCCAGGCATGGGGCGCTGTGGGCGCCGCGGCGCTGCCCCCTATCACCGTGCGCTACGGCAGCACCGTCGCGCACGTGCCAGGTGTGGCTACGGCGAGCCACCTGAAGAGGGGGTTGGCCACCGAGTGCGAAGCCGTCCGAGGCAAGGAGTGCCCGGCGGAGTTTCAGAGGTTTGTTGAGGGAGGCGCAGGTCGTGCTCCAGCTGGGCCGCAAGGCCTCCAGCGAGGACGTGCGAGCGAGGGCCTTGTCAGGCGAGGGCGCAGGGACGCGGCCGCGGATGTCGAGCAGCGGAGAGCGGGGTGCAGGGTGGTGGCACACCCCCCGGCGCGAGGACTTCCACATCGGGTGCTCGAGTGCCTGCGGCAGCCGGTCATGGCGCAGGCAGTCGGTGAGGAAGCGACCTGTCCGGAACTCACCGAGGGCATGGGTCAGCACGTCTCCGTCAGTTCGGGCTCAGGGATCACGTCCGACGGGTGTGTGGAGGAGAAAGAGCCCAAGGCGAAGGTGCTGGAGGAGAACGTGCGCAGGAAGCCCCAGCAAAGGGTGAGAACAGGCGGGGCCGTTGTCTCCCAGCAGCTTCGTTTGGCGGCCGCGCCAGTCCCCGCAGCTGCAGAGGCGTTCGGTACGAGCAGGAGTTAGCCCAGGACCCGAAATGCAAGGAGGAGACCGAGGAGGAGCTGCGTTTCCATCTGGGAGCAGCTCGCGGAGATCCAAGGCCTTGTCTTTGACCTCAGGGTGGAGGTCATCCAGCTCGCCGCGGCCAGGTTGGACAACGCGGACGACGTGCAGGTGACCGAGAATTCGAAGCTTGTCTTGCCCGAGGCGGTCGGCAGCGGTGTGCTCCCCGCGGCGGTCAACGAGGCAGGGGGGGCTCAAATTGCAAGTGGTGACGAACGGCGAGGAGTCGCGCCTGAAGCTCATGGCGGGCACCGGTGAAGGCCATGTGGGGAGCACGGATCTCCAGCAGGCGGGTGTCGTGCAGACCGGCGAGGCCTTTTCCGAGGTGCCCATTGGGGGATCCAGGGGCAGCCGCCGCTTGCCAAGCAGAGCTACCAAGGAGGAGGACGGCCTCTAGGAAGCACTCGAGGAGGAGCACGTCGTCTTCGTCCCCAAGCCCCTCGCGATGCCTGCCCAGGGCGCCCTATTGTGATCGATTGCTGCCTGTTCTGCGGCGGGGGGCTGCTGCTGCAGAGACGGCTGCACGGGGGAACAACCATCCTTTGCCACGAATGCAGTAGCGAGCAGTAGTCGGTTCGACCAGGGAGGGGGAGGGGATTAGAGTTATGATGTTCCAACCTATTCTAGTCTTGACCACCAGGGAGGATGTCGAACTCCATGAAAGTACCGAAACCTGGGGGGTTTCACGTGTCGGGCCCTGGGAGGCGACACTCGTTCGACACTGTTTCGACACTTTTCTGGGTACTCGAAAGTCTGTTTGGGCTGTGGTCCTTAATTGCGATGGGAGCAACATAATATTAGAGGTGGAGCAGCCCTTGGCAGCGAGCAGCAGCTTGAAGTCTAGCTGCCAGACCCGCCGCAGTCTGCGCTGGGGGTGGCCCGAGATCATGCCGTGGCGGTGTCTATTCGGGAGATGACGTATTGTTCGCCACGAGCCTCGCAACCCTTACACAGCGAACTGGCGAAGCGTGTGTGTGTGTGTGTGTGTTTGTTTGTGTGTGTGGCGAGCGTGCGTTCATGTTTTGGGGCCCCTCTGGCTTGTTTAGCTGTAGAGGATCTCTGATCTTCCTTCTCCCCCTCCCCCCCCCTGAAGCAGAATGCATGAGCGGGCTTGTTCCGTCACAGCTTGCCGAGTTCTCGTACTATCTCCTTGTTCCCCCCCCTCTCTCCTCCCTCCTCTCGGCCTCCCTTCTTCTCCTAGGCGCCCTCTTTGCCCCGTGTCCCGCTTCGCGCCATGCACCTTGGTCCTTGAAGTGTGGCATGGAGGCGGAATAGCAGGAAAGTCAAGCCGACAATGTAGCCATTTCTCCTTGTTGCCTTTTCCGGCATCGTCGCTATAGTAATGTTATTCGCTATCGTTCCTCCATGCTTCTTTATTTCTCATGTTCGCCATACCCTGCGCATTCTCCCCATCCTCCTCAGCTCTTTTTTGCAGAGGCTCCTCCTTGGAGAGCCTCTGGGGGCCTCACAAAAGTTGTTTCAGGCTTTCTTAGGCCTTCTGGAGGCCTCCTGGGCGTATTCTGGGGGCCTCTGGGAGCTTCCTCGGGCCACCCTGCCTCCAACCGCGGTCTCCCTGAACGACCGGGTCACGATTTGGAACGCTTCGGAGGGTGTCTTTGTGCTATTTTGGGCCGCCATGAGGCTCTCTGAGGGCCATCTTGGCCCCGTGTTGTGCCGTTTTGCGGCTCTCTTGGATTGCCTGGAAGCCCTTTCTGATAATTGTGGGGCGGTTTGGGAGCCTCCAAGGCGGCTTCGGACGCCCAGAAGACTGCCGTCTTGGAGCGTCGGGAAGCCGAAAAGAAGAGGACCCCCAAATTCATCAGAAAACAACAGAAAATAAATGATTTGTGCCTCTTGGGGCCTTCTTGGGAGTGCTCTTGGCCCCTTGGGCCATCTTGAGGTCACGTCGGTCAGTCTTGGAGCGCTCTTGTGCTGTCTTGGGTGTCTCTGGGATTTCTCTGATGACCCCCCCTTATCGCCCTGGGTGTGCTGGGAAGGCTTGGCAAAAACGCCCTGCGAGGCCCAGGGGGCCGCTTCGAGGCCCGTCTGGAGGGTCCCAAAGCCCCAGATCCCGGGAGTCCGTTTTTTTGGGGGAGGGGGGGTTGTTCCTTCTCGGGCCTAGCCTGGGCCTAGGACTTTGGAGTGCACCAGTGCGCCAGAGGAGGGAGGAGGAGGAGGGGAGGAGGAGGTCCTCCTTGTCCTCTCCGGTGTCGCCTTTACCCTCCTCCTCCGCCCTCCTCCCAGATGGCGTAGGTTGTTGGGTGTGCGGCGCCCTTGGTCGGTCCCCGCTTCGCTGTGCAACTCAGTGCGACTTCTCACTGCATATCAGAGTGGGTTGGCCGAATGGTCATTCATTGTCCCCGAGTGCGTGGCTGAAGTGGGGTTCCGCCTTGGAGATTGTTGTTGCGATGTTGTTTGTTGTCGGCTGCTGGTTGTTGTTGTTGCTCTTGTTGTTTTTGTTGCTGCTGTTGCTGTTGCTGTTGCTGTTGTTGTTGGCGTTTCTCTCGCGACCCTCCCCGCGACCCGCCCGCGACCCACCCGCGACCCGCCCGCGACCCGCCCGCGACCCAGCCCGCGTCTGCCCCCCCAATATTATCCGCAACTGCGGGGTGCTACATCTATATTCTTCGGACTGGGCTGGGATGACACGAGTACAAATCCGTTCCAGAGCGCCCCAAAACGCTCCCATAGCGTTCCCGAACGCTCTGAGAAGGCCGTGGCGCCCGAGACATCCTCCAGGGCTGCCAGATCTAAGAGATCCTCGATCCTATTAGGCTTACGCAACAGCATCCGCCGACCCCTCTATAAACTACAGCGGGTCCAGGACTGCATTCCACGAGGCTTGTCCGATTCCTGGGAGGTTCTTGGGGGCGTTTGGGGGCTCGGTTCGGTCTCTCTGGGTGCTTCTTGGGGCGTCTTGGGGGCTTCTTGAGGCAACCTGGGGGCGTCCTGGGGCCGGAGGCTGGAAATGTAGGTTCGGCCTCGATTTATCTTCACCCGGATTTATCTCGCCCTGGCTTCGTCTCGGTGCCACATCGATCTCATCTCTCCTCCTCCTCCTCCTCCTCCTCGAGGGCGCGGCCTCCTCCTCCCTCCTTCTTCTCCTCCTTTTCCTCCTCATTTCTCCTCCTCCTCCTCCTCCTCCTCCTTCTCCCCCTGGATGGGCAAGGCTTCCTCCTCCTCCTCCTCCTCCTCCTCCTCGAGGACGCGCTCCTCCCCCCTCGATGGTCAAGACGTCCTCCCCCCCCCCGCCCGAGGCCGCGCCGCCGCCGCCGGGCGCGCCCTCGGGCGGCGCGGCCGCGGCGGGCGTGTGGCGGCGCCTGGTGCGCGACGAGGCGGACCGCCGCCCGGCCGCCAGAACGTCTCAGTCAGAACCAGGTTCGGGCGAGCGGGTCCTTTTGCAGAGGGGGTCTCGAGAATGCGTCGGGCCGAACGAAAATGGGGGGGGAATTGGGAAACGGGGGGTTATGAAATCTGCTGCATGCAGCCGGTTTCGGCCCCACCGAAGGGCCCAGTTCTCGATACATGGCCGCCTCCGGCGCCGGGAGGCGCTCGGAAAATCAGCTACGTGAGTTGATTCTCAAACCCCCTCTTTGCTATCCCCACCTTTCGCCCGGCCCGAAAAGGGGGTCTCAAGAATGTGCGCAATAGTTCGTGCAGTCGTTCGTGCTGTATCGTCGTGGATGGGAGCAGGCAGCGTTGGATGTGGCATTTCCAGTCGGTAAGAGGTGCTACGCCCCAGGAGCCACAGCATGAACTATTGAACGTTTGTGTTTGCGACCCCATGAAGAAAGACCCTCTTTGCGCGGAACCAACTCAGCAGACCCCCCTCGAGTTACAACGATGGCGACGACGACGGCGACGACGACGACAACGACCACGACGACGACGACGACGACGACGACGACGACGACGAAGACGACGACGACGACGGCGACGACGACGACGACCACGACGACGACGGCGACGGCGACGACGACGACCACGACGTCGACGACGACGACGACGACGCAGACGACGACGGCGAAACCCCTCATGTCACGAGGCCGAGAAAGATAGCGAACCCTCGACCTCCACCTTCCGCACCTTCCGCGCGGCAGGCGCCGCACAGCGGCCGCCGCCAGCGCGGCCACAACGGCGGCCCCCGTCGACGCCGAAGCGGCGATCTCGGCAGTCGCCGCGGCCGCGCCGCGGCGGCGCCTGCTGCGCGGAAGGTTCGGAAGGTGGAGGTCGAGGGTTCGCTATTTTCAGCCTCGTGACAGGCGGGGTTAAGCCGTCGTTATTGTCGTCGTCGTCGTCGTCGTTACCGTCGTCACTGTCTTCGCCGTCGTCGTCATTGTCGTCGTCGTGATGTCGTCGACATCGTCGTCGTCGTCGTTGTCATCGTCGACCGTCGTCGTCATCGTCGGCCTCTGGGGGCCCTGACCGGGCCTCGGGACTGTCGAAGAACGATTCAGGCTGAATGACCTGTGCTGGGGAATGGGTCGAGACCTCTCGGGGCCTACTCGGGCGGGTGATGATGGGATGTGACCTCAATGGTGGGCCCTTTTCGGCCCCTGCTGGCTCCAAAAGGCGGCCCAAAGGGCCCCGCTGCCGTCGTCGTCGTCGTCGTCGCCGTCGTCGTCGTCGTCGTCGTCGTCGTCGTCGTCGTCGTCGTCGTCGTCGTCGTGGTCGTCGTCGTCGTCGTCGTCATCGGCGACGTTGTCGTCGTCGTCGTCGTCGATGTCGTCAGCGGCGACGGCGTCGTCGTCGTCGTCGCGAGCGCGCCGCCGAGGTGCAGAGGGCGCGGGCCGAGGCCGAGGAGAGACACCGGCGGCGGGAGGAACAGGACTTGTGCCCCCGCCGCCCCTTCTCCTTCTCCTCCTCCTCCTCCTCCTCCTCCTCCTCCTCCTCCTCACTCCTCCGCCTCCTCCTCTCTCCTCCTCCTCCCTCCTCCTCCTCCTCCTCCTCCTCCTCTCCTTTCCTCCTCCTCCTCCCCTGTCCTCCTCCCTCCTCCCCTCCTCCTCCTCTCCTCCTCCTCCCTCCTCCCCATCCTCCTCCTCCTCCTCCTCCTCTTCCTCCTCCTCCTCCCTCCTCCTCCTCCTCCGTCTCCTCCTCCTCCTCTCCTCCTCCTCCCCCCTCCTCCTCCTCCTCCTCCGCTCCTCCTCCTCCCCCTTCCACCTCCTCCTCCTTCCCCTCCTCCTCCTCCCTTCTCCTTATCCTCCTCCTCCCTTCTCATCTTCCTCCTCCTCCTCCTCCCTCCTCCTCTCTCCTCCCTCCTCTTCCTCGAAGCCGCTCCACAGTATGAGAAGAGAATGGCTGCCCTACTCGAAAGAGTGAGGGCCAAAGAAGCCAATTCTCAGATGGCATAATTGTAGTGACCTTGCCAGTCCTTGGTGTGATCATCGTCCGACCTTTCTCAAGGCGCTGTGTTATCTTATACTATCCTCCTCCACCTTCTCCTCCTCCTCCTCCTCCTCCTCCTCCTCCTCCTCCTCCTCCAGTCGTTTTCCTTATTGACAACTTCTCCATGTCGCACCCCGAGGCCAGTTTTTAGGGCGAGCAGCATGCCGCCTGAGACATCCACACCACATATGACCCTGAAGCTTTTAAAGTGGTAACAGTTTCACAGATGGAGGGCGGGTGGTTTTCAAAATATGGCTCTCGCCTATGCGCCGTGAACATTATTTTCGGCAAATTGCACGAGTTTCACGGATTTAAGGCGGGCCGTTTCAATATGTGGTTCTCGCCTTAGCGCCGCGCGCAGTCGTCCTAAGCAGTTGCAAGTGATTCATGGATTGAGGGCGTTTTTTCTTCAACATGTGTTTTTCGCCTTAGCGCCGCGCGCATTCGTTTAACAACGTTGCAAGCGTTTCACGGATTGAGGGAGGGTGGTTTCCAAAGTGTGGTTTTCGTTTCCGCGCCGCGCACATGTGTAAAACAAATGCGAGAGTTTTGCGTATTGAGGGCGGCCCGTTTCCAAAAAGTGGTTCTCGCCTTAGCGCCGCGCACGTTCGTTTTAAACATGTGCCAGAGCTTCACGCATTGAGGGTGGTTCCTCTTCAAAATGGGGCTCTCGCTGTAGCGCCGCGCACATCCGTTGTACATAAGTGTGAGATTTTCCGGGCTCCGATGATCAACGTACCAGAAATGGTGTTTGGACGGATTCAGTATCATGCGGGTGCATGTTGAGTCGCGGTGTTGAAGTCCCCAGAATGGCGTTCTGGCACGATTTTGGACCGTCAAGACGTAGCAGTCAGGCTGATCAGTGGCGTTCAAATTCCCGAACACAATGCTTTGGCATGCTTCAGGGTCTTCAAACGGTCGTTTTCCAACGAGGCAGTTTCCTCAATGGAAACGAACCGTTTCATGGGGCCTATGACGAGGGAGCTTGGAGGGAGGGTTAATTCCAACATCGTTGATGCGAGTTGGGTCTACACTGGTCCTCCTCCTCCTCCTCCTCTGCCTCCTCCTCCTCCTCCCTCCTCGCCGCCCCTCCTCGCGGTGGGGTCTTAGCATCGTTCGGACGAGTGCATCTTTCGGCGGCGAACGAGGGGTGGAAACCAGAATGAAAAGGCCTTTCCAGAAGGCGGCGGAACTTCTCAGAAACCCTCGCGCCCTCCGAGAAGTGTTTTTTTTTGTGTTGTCTCCGGGGAAGGCGCTCAGGCAATGTCCTCACGAGGCTGGGGAGCTTCCGCACCTTCGGAACAAGCAAAAAAACACACCCTCCACTTCACCCCCCCCCCACCTCGAAAAAAAACACCTCCTCCACTTCACTTCCCCCCCCCGCTTCGCTCGCCACCACATTTCCTTGCGGATTTCGCACGCGAAGGGTCCGGATAGCCACGGGACGCAGTAGGTTGTGGGCCCCGTCGCTCGGCGCGCACCCCCCGGGAGCGCACCCCCCGGAGCGCGGGGCACCCCGGCACCCCCCTCTGCCCGTTGTGCACTCCATGTAATGCACTCTACGTCTTGCAATATATATATATATAAACACATGTTCTATATATATATATACACACAGATCTATGTATATATACACACAGATCTATATGTACATGTCTATATATATACATAGATCTGTATACACACATCTTCTACACATGCAACCCTCTACTTCTATATATATATATATATGCATATATACACAGATCTATATGTATACACACACATGTTGCGCTCCACTGTATGTGGAGCTATGTGGAGCAATCCACGTGGAGCAATTGACGCAGTGCGCATGTTGCGCGGTGCAGTCAACTCGGTGGAATCGAAGGAGTGCCATCAGTGCCGTGCTTTCCACGCGGTGTAACGAAGGTGGTCCAAGATGTGCGTTGCAATCAATGCTGCGCATTCTAAAGGTGCAGTCTGTGCTGTGCAGTCGATGTTGTGTGCAGTCTTAGTGGTGCGGTCTATGCTGTCCAGTTTATGTAGTGTAGTCAGCGTGGTGCTATATGTGTTGTGTGTGATACGATGCGCTGTGCAACCTGCTGGTGCGATCTATGTGGTTCACTATAACGGCGGTCCAGTTCCTTAGTGCAGAAAGAAGAATACGAAACATCCGGGAATGCATACAGACCTGTGAATGTATATCTGGATGATATATATATATATATATGTATCGATGAGAGGGAGAGAGAGAGAGAGAGAGAGAACAACCAAAAGGAGAGTCGGCATGTATGTATATTCACACATCGGTGAAACCATGTATTATGCATGGATACGCACTTGTACATAATAGGTCCAGTGTGTCTTCAGTCGTGTGTCTACGCATTAGGGGATATAATTTGAACCCAAGGAAACTGGAGGATTCCCGAAGGAATCCTTCGGATCCCCTCGGGATCTCCATTTCCCAACGGATTGCGAAGGGAACCCACAGAAATCGGATGATTCCTCAGGGAATCCGATGGGTCCCGACTAGTTTTTATCGTAGGCGGATCTCTCAAGCTCTCCGCCGCCTCTGGCGGTGCGCGCAGCGAGCAGGAACACAGCAGAGCCTCATGAAAGCGCGGCATTGACAGTGGAGCTCCGCACACGTGACGAACGTTAACGAGCAGGGTCACAGCAAAGCCCCAGGAGAGCAAGGCATTGACAGTGCAAGTCAACATTGACCCGATGGATCCCGAGTAGCCCGTAGGAGCATGACTCCCTGGGAAGGGGGCAGCAGCGCCTCAGCGGTGGCAGCAGCGAGAAGGGTCGTGCAGCCTCCCCTCGGGAGCGCAGGGCTTCTTCAGTTTTCTGATGGGCATGTTTTCCACCACCATCACCATGAGTTGGAGGGGGAGGGGATCCTCCTCCTCCTCCTCCTCCTCCTCGCCCCTCCTCGTCCTGCTCGTCCTCCACCTCCTTCTCCCCTCCAACTTATGGTGGTGGTGGTGGTGGAAAACAGGCCCATCATTTTCGTCCAAGGCTAACGTCGTCGCGGTCCCATTGGAGGCGTCACCCTCGGGGGCCTGGTGAGCCCCCTGCCCAGGTGGAGCTGGAATCTCCAGGAATCCCTTGGGATCCTCTCAGACATCCTACAGGAACCCCTCAGGGATCCCCCCAGGGATCCATGGGAATCCCCCAGGAATCCTTCAGGAACCCCTCAGGAACCCTTCTGGGAGTCCGAAGGACTCCCTTAGGACCCCCCCAGGGATCCTTTCAGGATTCCCTCAGGAGTCCCTCCAGAATCTATCCGGACCCCTTCAGGAATCTGTTAGGAAACCTAGCAATTCCCTCAGGCCCCCCCCAGAATCCTTCAGGAATCTTTCAGGGATTCGCAGGAATCCCTCAGGAATCCTTCAGGAATCCTTACAGTAATCCTCAGGAGTAATTCCCTTAATCGTATTTTAAGAGATCCTACAGAATCCACCTGGAATCCTCAGGAATCTTTTGCGGAGCCCCCTGGAATCCTTCAAGTGTTGGGAAGTTGAAGTGAGCTTCCGTGGTTTTAATATGGCATTCGTCTTGCAGGATAGTTGAGTGAATCCTGCATGTTGGGATCAGTCTCTTTCCAGTGGTTGCAATCAGTCCCAAGGGGACCGCCAGAGGCCCGATGTGGATTGAATTGGCTTGAATCTCGATTCCCCCATCCATCCCCTCCTCGGGACCCCAATCCCACCCCCGTTGGGAACCCCTCTTCCTTGCGATCCCTCCCCAGCCCTCGACTCGACTGCGACGTTGCTCGAGTTCCTTTCGGTTTTTCGCTGTGTTCAGCTTCTGGGGGCCCTTACTGGGGTTCGGGACCGTCCAAAGACAACTCAGGATGAACAGCCTGGCCTGGGGAATGGGATCCAGATTTCTGCGCGCCCACAGTGTGCACAAGAGCACGATGTCTGGGGCCCGGGAGTGACGCATGCCTTCAAATCGTGAAGGTTTAGCCAGGGATCCCTATCCTTGAGACCCCCTCTCTCAAGGCCCCATCCTTGAACCCCCCAGTCGGCGCGCCTGGGGTGGTGGGGCGGCAGTTATGGCCTAGGGAACGGGCTTGCTCGAAGGCTCAGCAGGCCGCTGGCCTTCCGAGGAGCTTCCTGGGCCTCCTTCGGTGCCGCGGCCGCGGAGGGCTGCTTGGAAGCCGGGAGGGCTTCGTAGAATCCCCACCGCCCTCTGAGGAGGCTTGCCTTAAGTCGGGCGTGTCCCTCTACAGGAGGAACATGCAAAAATAGGCAAAACAGTAGTACGGGGACGATGTTTTGAGTTTGAATTGATCATTGTTGGGCATTCTTTGACTACTTGTATTTTTCATCCCAAATCCCCATGTATGGGGACATGCCCGACCTAGGGCTTGCCCCATCTCGCTTCCCCCCCTCGGCGCGCCGCCGAGCCCTGAAAAAATCCGCTCTCGACCTCCAGAAGCTTATATGTGGTGCACGAGAGAGCGTGATACACCGCCGCTTTGCTGTGGAGAATTCCCCCCCCCTTTTCCTCCGGAGCCCGGCCCCCCCCCCCGCCCCACCCCGGAAAATCCCCCCCTCCCCTGCTGGAGCCCCCTCCCCCACCCCACCCCCTTCCCTCCGGCACCCCCCCCCCCTCCCCTAACCCCCCTCCCCCCCCTCCAGACAACCGGGGGGGGGGGGTCACTACCGGTTCGAACCCGCCCCCCCCCCCCTCCAGAAAACCGGGAAGGGTCACTACCAGTTCGAACCCCCCACCCTCCGGAAACCCAGGGGGGGTCACTACCAGTTCGAACTTTTCCCACCGAGAGAACCAGGGGGGGTCACTGCCGGGTCGAACCCCCGAAGCTCCAGAAAACCGGGGGGTGTCATTGCTGGTTCGAACCCCCACCTTTCCTTCGAGAAAATTGAGAAAAAAAAACTACTGGTTCGAACCTCTCCCCCCCCCCCACGCTCACCGCCACCGGTTAACGACTCCCGGGTCCCTAATTACCACCGTCCGCACCACACCCCCCACTGCTGTCCCCAGCACCACTGTCCTCACCACCACTGCCCCCACTGTTTCCATCACCGTCCCCATGGTCCCCACCAGTGCCCCCACCACTGTCGCACTGTCCCCACTGTCCCCACCACTGTTCCCACCACGGTCCCACTCTCCCCATTTTCCCCACGGCCCCAACCACTGTCCCACTGTCCCCACTGTCCCATTGTCCCACTGTCCCCGCCGCTGTCCCACTGAGCTGGCCCACTGTTCCCACCATTGTCCCCACTGTCCCCACCACTGTCCCCACTGTACCTCTGTCCCATTGTCCCACCGCCGTCCTCGCCGCCGCCCTCACCAGTGTCCCGCCACCACTGTCCCACTGTTTCCACCACATTCCCATTGTCCCCACACCACTGTCCCCACCACCACCGGCCCACCCACTGTCCCACTGTCCCCACTGTTCCCACCATTGTCCCCGCTGTCCCCACCAGTGCCCTCACCAGTGTCTCACTGTCCCCACTCTCCCACCATTATCCCACCACGGTCCCACTCTCCCCACTTCCCCCACGGTCCCCACCACTGTCCCACCGTCCCTACTGTACCCACCACCGTCCCACCGTCCCCGCCGCTGTCCCACTGTGCTGTCCCACCGTTCCCACCGTCCCCACCACTGTCCTACTGTCCCCACCACTTTTCCCCACTGTACTACTGTCCCACCACTGTTTTCACCACCGCCTTCACCACTGTCCCCACCACTACCGTCCCCACCACTGTCCCGCTGTCCCCTCACCACTGTCCCCACCACCACCGTCCCCACGACTGTCCGCACCACTGCCCCACTGTCCCCGCACTACTGTCCCCCACCACCACCGTTCCCACCACTGTCCAAGTATCTTCACCATTGTCCAACTGTCCTGAGGAGCGGGAATCGTTTGCCGGCGGCGAGGTGTGGGGGAGGGTGTTTCGAACCAGTAGTGACCCCCCTCCGGTTTTGGAGGGGGGCGGTTCGAACCGGTAGTGACCCCCCCCCTCCTTTTCATGATGGACCGGGGGGGGGTTCGAACCGGTAGTGACCCCCCCCCCCCCAGTTTTCGAGGGGGGGGGAGGGGGGGGACGGGTTGGGAACCCCCAGTGACCCCTTTCCGGTTTTCCACCAACCTTATCTCTCCTCCTGCCAGGGAGCATCCTCTCGTCGTCGTCCTCGTCGTCTCCGTCCTGGTGATGGCGTCCTCGTGGTGGTCGGCTGCGCGGGCGAGGAGGAGGGGAGAAGGAGGACAACCAGGACGGTCGGTCCCTGCACACTGTGTCGGATCTCGTCGCGGCATCCTGCATCGTTTTCGTGTACTACACCTTGAGGCGTACAGTCAACCCGCATGGCAAGGATGGGCAGTTGTCCTAAGGGGACTGTTGCATCCTTGCCTCCTCGGTTCATCCTTCGCCACTTTCGTTGGTCGCGCCCGGCTCGAAAAGCTTCTTAATGAGTGTGGGTGGACAGAGTGGTTTCGACCAGGGGAGCTTGCGTTCAGCGTGCACGGTCGGTGAGTATTCTTCGGTCCCTCGAGGGGGGTCGTGCACGCTATGTGTGGCGTTTTGACCGTCTCGCGCATCCTGGTGACACGGGTTGGCTGTACCTTCGCGCGCTCGAGCCGCATGCCTGAAGGACTCCCGTCTCCCACGGGGGGCCAGGCGGCCGGTGGGGGGGGGGGAGGGGGGGGGGCCCTGGGCCGAACAAGCCGGTGGGGGGGGGGGGCGGGCGCAGGTGCTCGGAGTGGGGCGCGGGCGGTTTTTGCAACACCAGGCGCGCGAGGGACGGTGCCTCCACTCGGGCCGGGCGGAAGGGAGGGATTGGGAAAGGGGGGGTTACGAAATCTGCTGCATGCAGCTGATGTCGGCCTCACCGAGGGGCCTCCGGCGCCGGGAGGCGCCGGGAAAGTCAGCTGCGTGAGCTGATTCTCAAACCCCGCCTTTGCTATTCCTCCCCTTTCGCCCGACCCGATCCACGAGGAGGCAGGGGGAGACGGCGGAGGGTTGGGAAGCGATGCTCGGGGGCGCTGGGAGGTTTTGCTTTGTGAGCTTCTGATGCTCTGCACGGCGTCCTTGGTGGCTGGACGAGGAGGGTCAAGGCAGGGGGCGGAGCAGGAGGAGGCGGAGGAGGAGGAGGAGGAGGTGGAAGAAAGACGGTGGGAGAGGAGTCGGGATGTTGTTTGAACCGCGAGAACTTCTAGCGGGTTCAAGTGGGACCTATGGGGACGGGAGGATACAGAAAGGATGAGGAGTGAGCAGAGGCAGGAGGCATACAGAGGTTTTCGGAGCATGTTGGAGGTTTCTTCATGTCTTCCAAATGGATTCAGCGGCTTCCGAATGGAGGGAGAGCGGAGGAAGTGGACGGAGGTGGAGGTTGATGGAGGAGGAGCAGCAGGAGGCGAGAACGGCGAGGACGATCAGGAGGAGGCACAGCAGGATGAGGAAGGGGAGGAGGGGGAGGGGGGAGGTGGACGAGGAGATGGATATGAAACCCAAGAGAAACAACTTTTGACTGTCATGCAAGGTATAAGCGAGTGTGCCCTGCATGGACGACGAGGGGGAAGGCGGTGACGGCCTCGACGGCGGCGGCGTCCGCAGGAGCGGATCATGCGCGAGATGCGCGACCCGCTTATGGTCCAGCCCCCGAGGCTGCGCTGTCCCCTCCCATATCCTCCTCCTCCTCCTCCGCGCGGCGCGTGGCTGCGGACGGTCCCTTTTCTGCCGCTGGCGCCTTCGCGCCCTCCTCGTGGCCGACGCCGGGTGGAGGGTGAGAACAACAGCCAAGAGGTGGGGTGAGCAAGAAGGAGACGGACAGTGGTGACCGGGGGAGGGGAGGGGAAGGCAAGGCTCAAGTCGGGCGTGCCCCCCTAGAGGAGGAGTGCTCAATAGCAGTCAGAAAAATAGTCTGGCGACGATTTGTCTACTATTATTATTGCCAGCCATGTTTGACAAGTTTTGAAAACGATGTGTTATTCCCAACCATCCTGTGGTGTTGGGTCCTCGTTTTGTATATTCAGCGCCCCGCGTTCCTTCCTTCTTTCCTTCCTTCCCGCTGCCCCCTCCCTCCTCCCACCTCCCCCTCCTCCCCCTCCTTGCCTCTGCTCTCCCCAGTGGCACAGGCCGCATGCGTCAACGCCACGCATTTAGTCACACTTCTCACGCGGTTTGTGGCCCCACACGGAGCTCCACCGAAGGCTCCAGCGGCAGGGTCCGCGTGAGAGGACCGCCAGCAATTTTGGCACACCCCTCACACGGTTCGTGGCCCCACAGGAGCTCCACCGAAGGCTCCGCCACACATTTTGGCACACCCCTCACACGGCTCGTGGCCCCTCAGGGAGCTCCACCGAAGGCCCCAGTGGCAGGGTCCGCATGCTGGGACCGCCACCCATTCCGGCACACCCCTCACACGGTTCGTGGCCCCAAAGGGAGCTCCACCGAAGGCCCCAGTGGCAGGGTCCGCATGCAGGGACAGCTCCCCATTTAGGCATACCCCTTACACGGCTCGTGGCCCAACAGGGAGCCCCACCGAAGGCCCCAGTGGCAGGGTCCGCATGCAGGGACTGCCATCCATCCTGGCACGCCCCTCACGGTTCGTGGTCCCACAGAGAGTTCCACCAAAGGCACCAGTGGCAGGGTCCGCATGCGGGGACCGCCACCCATCCTGGCACACCCTTCATACGGTTCGTGGCCCCACACAGAGGTTCAGCGAAGACTCCAGTGGCAGGGTCCGCATGCGGGGACCGCCACCCATTTTGGCACACCCCTCACACGGTTCGTGGCCCCAAAGGGGGCTCCACCGAAGGCCCCAGTGGCAGGGTCCGCATGCTGGGACCGCCACCCATTCCGGCACACCCCTCACACGGTTCGTGGCCCCAAAGGGAGCTCCACCGAAGGCCCCAGTGGCAGGGTCCGCATGCGGGGACCGCCACCCTTTTTGGCATACCCCTTACACGGCTCGTGGCCCCACAGGGAGCTCCACCGAAGGCCCCAGTGGCAGGGTCCGTATGCGGGGACCGCCACCCATTCCTGCACACCCCTCACACGGTTCGTGGCCCCTCAGAGAGTTCCACCGAAGGCCCCAGTGGCAGGGTCCGCGTGCGGGGACCGCCACCCATTCAGGCACACCCTTCATACGGTTCGTGGCCCCACAGGGAGCTCCACCGAAGGCCCCAGTGACAGGGTCCGCATGCGGGGACCGCCACCCATTTTGGTACACCCCTCACACGGATCGTGCTCCCACAGGGAGCTCCACCGAAGTCCCCAGTTCGGGGGGTTCCCGGGAGGCTTCCAGGGACCTGCCACGCCAGTCTCGAGGAGGTCATTTGGAGGGAGTGTTGATTGCAATATCGTTGATGAGTCTTGGGTTTGCACTGGTCCTCTTCCTCCCCCTCCCCGTGCTCCCTCATTCTCCTCTTCCTCCTCTTCCTGACGGTCCAGCCCCGACGGGGCCAGCGAGGAGGAGGAAGGGGGTCGAGGACAGAGAGCCAAATGTCGGGGAGCATCGGGGGTCTAGGATCTAGGATCTAGGATCGAGGAGGATCCCAGATCGAGGAGATTTGAAGGCTTCGAGGGTCGATGGGGTGATCGAACATCGGGGAAGAGGAGGAGAGAGAAGGGGAGAAAGAGGAGTTCGGGGATTGAGGATCCAGGAGGATGCAGAATGGAGGTGATTGTCCAATCTGTGGGCCTCCCCGAGGAGTCCGAAGAGGGCTGGCACTGGCCACCCGCCGAAACGCCCCAGTCCCAGCGCCGATCCAAGATGCCTGCGCGTGCCTCCAGAAGTTCATGTTCAGCTCAGTGCTTCTTCTTCTTCCTGGTCGTCGCCATCGCCGTCACGGTTTTTGTCTTCGACGACGTCGCCCTCGTGGCCGTCGTGGTCGTCTTCGGCCTGGTCGCCGTCGTGGTCGTCGCGACGACGTTGCCGTCGCCGTCGTGGTCGCCGTGGTGTACTAACGTTTCTTCTTCCAGCCGTCGTCGGCGTCGTGGTTGTCGTCCTGCGGGCCACGGCGACGGCGACCGCACCAGCGACGAGCGAGGACGGACGAGCCGCCCAGGCGGCCTCAGCCCCGCTTCCCTGGCCAGCCCGGTTTCGGCGGCGCCGTCGGGGGTGACTACGACCTCATGCCAGGGAGGGGCCCAGGGGATCCGCTTCGCCGGAGGAAGAGAGGAAACGACGCCGCAGACCCAGAACCTCTCGAGCCATGGACAAGAGCACGACGTACGATGTTTCACTGTTTATTGCCCGTCCCTGGGGGCCCTTGAGGGGCCTCGGGGCCGTCAGAAAGCGACGCAGGATGAAGCAACTGTCCCAGGGAATGAATGGGTCGAGACCTCTTGGGGCCGACACTGTGAAAAATCATGACGTTTGGGGTCTGGGAGGCACGATTCCGCTGCTAGTCCTGGAAAGCCCTCGTCGCCACGGCCTGATTCTTTTCGCAGTTCTGGTCAGGACGCACCCGGGGGGAGCTTGTTGGGGATAGCAGCATCGGGAGAACAGAAGAAGCACCAGCATCATAAACACCACTTTTCGGAGGCCTGTGCGGATTTCTCGCATATGCGCTAGGCCCCCCTGTGGCGGCGCCTCTTGCCCCGCTCCTGGCGCGTTGCGCGCGCCAGGGGAGCGGGTCCAGCGCCGATTTAAGACATCCCCGCGGACCACCGAAAGTGTTAGATTAAAGCTGCTGTGTCTACAGAAGCAGCAGCAGCAGCACCACCACCACCTGCGGTGATTATTCCCCTGGCCAGAGTGGCCCTCGGCCAGAGTGACCTCCTCTGCAGGCCCCCCGAAAAATGAACGCGATGTGACAGCAGCGGCCCGCAGGCTGTTTGGTTTGCCACCCGTTAAAAACACACTCGCCAAACGTCACTCTTGCCTACAGTGCCGTTTTTAATACATGCCCCGCGTGCGGACCATGTATCACAAACACAAGGATTTAGTATTAAAAACAACGATGAGCTCATGCATACCTTTATTCATACATCAGCCATGCATTAAACATCCTATATAAAAACAAATCCTCTGTATGAAAAGCTGCCCTGTAGTGCCACTCCTGCGTGTAGCCGACGCCGGGCTACTGCTGGCGAGGCAGCCCCCCAGGCCTCCCCCCGAGCCAGAAAGCTGGAGGGACGCCTCGAGGAGAGCGCCGCAGAGCAGGGGGGCTGAGAGCCGCCCGGCGGGCCCTCCTCCCTGGCACCTCGCTTACTGCGGCGGTGTGGCGGTGACCCTACACTCTTTGCTCCTGCTTGGGGGAGTCGGGGTGGTCCGGGGGTCAAGTCGGGCCTGTCCCCCTACAGAGGGGTGTTCGACGAAAACTAAGAAACTTCACCAACAATAGCAAAACGAATGTCCAACAATAGCCGGGGGACTATGTTTTGAGTATTGTTTGGTCTTTTTGGGGTATGTTTGGAGCTTTTTTAATTCAAAAAAAGAAAAAAAGAAAACAAAACAACCGTCGAAATCCCCCTATATGGGGGACACGCCCGACATAATGCTTGCAGAGTCTGGGTGGTCCGAGGGTCGAGGAAGGGACGGTGAGGTCGGCTCTTTGTAGTTGCCCCCCGTGGTGCTCGCGAGTGTAGATTGAAAGGAGAGGAAACAAAAACACCCGGGCCCGACAGTTGGCGTTGGCTGAACGGCCATGGGCGCTCACCAAACAGCCCCGCCCTGTTTGATGCCCTCTTTGAGCGCGTTTGCCGAACGGCTTCGCTTGTTGGGGTGATTGTTACGGGGGTGGATTGTCTGCCCTCTGACATAGGTGGGGTTGACTGTCCTCGCGCTTTTGCTTGTTGTCCTGGTGCTTTGGCCTTGCTCGTGGACTGCGGACGGTCACGGCTCCGTCCGCAGCGCATCGCGCTGCCGTTTGTTTGGGCTCCTAGGCGCGGCGGTGAGGAGGAAAGGAGGAGGAGGAGGAGGACGAGGTTGCCTTGGCAGGCCGTCTCTGGTACCTCTCCTTGAGCCAGGTCGCAGCCTTCTCTCAGACTTCCCGCGTGATCTCGGCCCCGGCCCTCGTCGCCTGGCCGCTGGGCGTGGGCTTCGTCAGGGTGGTGTTGCTGCTCTTGCTTTGCGCGCAGGCGGCCTCGTCCGCGCGCGCCTCATGTTATGGGTCAAGGAGGCCCGACAGCACGTCGAAGAGAAGAGGAGGTGGCTAGGCCAGAGTTTCGGCAACACCAGCTCGTTGAGTGATGGGATAATCCCCCCAAGTGGAAGCAGTTGTGGTACAACGGTGGACCCCATAATACAAAGCATTACTTAGCACACGCATAAGTTGCACTCTGGGCTCATGGCTGCCCAGGAGTGATGTATCATAACCCACGGTGTAAAGCACCTGTGGACCATGTGTTAAACAATAACTCATGAGCGGTTCCCGAACCACTTGATCATTTGTGGTCGAACCGCTGATGCTGTACTATTGAACGACTGCTTGGACACGCTTTTGCCATCGTTGAGCCAAGCGGCGAAGTGTTGTACCACCACCCTTTTGTACCGACACGTGCCAATTCTCCCCTCGCAAAGACACGTTGCAGCACTTATGCATCATTCGATGCTGCGTTGGGTGGAAATGGGAGGAAATGGGACCACATGTGTATGAGTAGAGGCTTTGTTCTTCCCTAGCCCCAGCCTGGCTAGGGAGAGAGGGAGAGGAAGAGGGATCTGCGTCTCGATGCCTCTACTCTTTAGGGCCTCTTGGGGTTCCCCGCGACCTGAGATAAATAGATTCCCTCATCATCTCTCTCGTCATTCTTCTCCACCTCTTCCTCTTCCTCAGTACCCCCCCTCCTCCCTCACTTGTACGCCGCTGTCGTCGTCATCTCCGCTGTCGCCGTGGGAGCGTCATCCCTCTTGACCCTCCTCCATGGCCTCTAACCACTCCCCCCATCCTTCTCCAGGCCCCTGTACAGTCAAAGATGCCGAAAGAAGGAACAGTTCGGGTTCGGAAGGGGTACGCTGTTCCTCAGGTCCTTCCATGCTTCTTTCCCCAGCGCTGCTTGTGCACCCAGGCCGCTTTTTAGGGCCAGGCAGGCGTCGTTCCTTCTTGAGCGCCCCTTTCCGCAGCAGCTGGCATGCGCTCAGCTTCTGCCTTCCTGCCCTTCCTCGTCCTCCTTACCTTCGCCTGCCAGCTCCACAGAAAGCCACAGTGGCTGTGACCTTGCCACCCACCCACCTGCGCCCGCGCCACTTACTGCAGCGCTTCGTGTCTCCACAGGGAGCCCCACCGAAGGCCCCAGTGGCTGTGACCACCTGCGCCGCATCCACTCACTACAGCGTTTCGTGCCCCTGCTGGAAACTCCACGGAAGACCCCAGTGGCAATGACCACATACGCCCGCGCCACCCACTACAGCGCTTCGACGCCCGGAGCTCCACCGAAGGCCCCAGTGGGTGTGACCACATGCGTCCGCGCCACCAGTACAGCGTTCGTTGCCCCATAGGGGGCTCCACAACGAAGGCCCACGCGGCTGTGACCACATGCTGTGTACATCTCTTCGCGGCCCCATAGGGAGCTCCACCGAACGCCCTCGTGGCTGTGACCACATGCGTCCGCGCCATCAAGTTCAGTGTTCCGTGGTCCCACAGGGAGCTCCACCGAAGCTTCCAGTGGCTGTGACCCTCTGCGTCTGCGCCCCCAGTCGCTCCCAGACGCTCCCATGTGCTGCTGGGTGCTCCCAAGCATACCCAAGCGCCCCCTGGCGCTCCCAAGCGCTCCCAAGCTCGGGCTTTCCCCAGGCGCTCCCAATCGCAAGCGGGCATTCCCAGGCGCTTCCAAGCGCACACAGGCGCTTCCAGGCGCCCCCAAGCCCTCCCAGGCGCTCACAGGCGCTTCCAAGCGCTCCGAGGCGCTTCCCAGGCGCCCCCAGGTATCCCCAGGCGAACCCATGCGGTCTCGGGCGCTCCCCAGCGCTCCCAAACGGCAGGCGCTCCCACAAGCGCTCCCGCAAGCGCTCCCCTCCCAGGCGTTCTCAAGCGCTCCAAGGCGCTCCCAGCTTCCCAGACGCTCCCAGCTTCCCAGGCGCTCCCAGGCGCTCCCAAGCGTTTCCCAGGCGCTCCCAGGTGGTCCATGTTTTCCCAGGCGCTCCCAAGCGTTCCCAGGCGCCCCCAAGCGCTCCCAGGCACTCCCAAACGCTCGCCGGCGCTCCCAGGCGCTTTCAGGCTTTCCCAACCAGCCACCAGGCGTTCCTACGCGCCTCCAACATTCCCAGGCGCTCCAGGCGCTGAGCAGGTCTCTCGAGCGCTTCCCTGGCGCTCCCAGTCACTCTCAGGCATTTTCCAGGCGCTCCCAAGCGCTCCCGAGCGCTCCCAGGCGTTCCCAGGCGCTCCCAGCCATGCGCTCCCAAGCGTTCCCAGGCGCTTTCTAGGCGCTCCCCAGGCGCTCCCACAAGCGCTCCCAGGCGCTCCCAGTGGCTGTGATCACATGCGTCTCCCCCGACCCATTTCGGCACGCCCCTCGCGCGTTCCGCGGCCTGCCCCAAGGGAGCTCCACCGAAGTCCTCGCGGCGGTGTCCACATGCTCCCCGCCGCTCACGTCGGCATACCACGCCTCACACGCTCCGTGGCCCCATACGGAGCTGCTTTGAGGTATCGACAGCTGCATATGGTCGGGTCCTTCGCCAGGACAGTTGTTTTTGTTCGTGTGCCGCGGCATCCTACAAACCAGCGCGCGAAGGACGCAGAACAACGGGCTCGGACATTCTGCGCGCAAGCTGCCCGCGTGAGGTTGCCCGCGTCCCATGCAGCGTGCCACGCAGGTGGCCCGCGTCAGCCACCGCGTGAGGTCCCTGCGTCCACCGCGTCAGACCCGTTCATTTTCGTCGCCCACGCATTGTCCCATCGCCAATTGTTCGTCGCACCCGACGCCCAACCCATTCCTTTGCTCCTGGCTTGGCATCGCTCGGACGTGTGCATTTGCCCCCGGCGAGGGCCATCGACTCGAGGAGCATCCTGGGTCATCTTGCGGAAAGAAGCACGCGCGAAACCGAAACATGCACGGGGACTGGACGTCCGAGCGATGGCCAGCTGACCGCTCCTTGGCCGCCGCCGCCGCCGCTCTCCCCTGTGTCACCCTCGGAGGCGCGAAGACAGTCGCGCCTCGCGCGTCGCGGTCAGGGCCAGAGCGGCTGCCCTTCTCCAGGCCCAGATCCTCGGCGCCGCGTTTTTTTTTTGTCACAGCGCCGCCTCCCGGACGTCTCGACCCATTCTCCCCAGGGCCGGATTTTTCCATCCCGAGTCGTTCTGCTCGTCTCCCGTGGCCCAGTGAGGGCCCCCAGCTGCCGAAGATATTTGGTGAAACGTTGCCGGCCGAGATTCACCACCTACCACACCACCCCAACCCGACCCGAAGGCCTCAATTTGCCCTCGATTTCCAGTGGGGGGGAGGTCGGGGAACGTTGACAAAAACACATGGAAACCGTACCCCCCCCAACCCGAAATTCGGGTCAAATTCGGGTCTTCGGGTTGGGTTGGGGTGGTCTGGTAGGTAGTCAGAGATGTCTTCCCAACTCGGGGGGCGGGGGGTCTGGGACGCGCGGGGGCACGACGCGCGCAGTCCGGGGGCCTAGTCGGCTCGTTCCCCCGCGCGGCCCGTCGCTCCCCCCCCGACTTGGCATCGCTCGGACGTGTGCATGGTTCCGTCGGCGAGGACCATCGAGGAGCATCCCTGATCGGTTGGCGAAAAGACCACGCACGAAACCGACAAAAAACACAGGGAATGGGCGTCCGAGCGATGCCTAGTCGGCTCCTTCCAGGGCGCGGCCCGTCGCTCCCCACCCGCCACCCCGAAGACTCTCGGCGGCGGAAAAGAGGGGGGTGATGACTGGGGGGGGTATCATGGCGGGGGCCATGAGATCTCCCCAGACTTCGTGGCGCCTCTTCTTATGTTACGACGTCCCTGGCCCCCCCCCCGCTGGGCCGCGCACGTGCCGCTGGCCATGATCTGCAGCCCCCCTTCCTTGGACACCCCCCTCTTGGCCGCTCCCCGAAGACTCCGCCCACGGGCCGTGGGCCTCGGGCGCGGGGCGGCGGCAGGGGCGGCTTCTTCCCCGGCGGCTTCGGCGGCATGGGCGGCCGCGGGCCCTTCCGGGGAGGCCCCGCCGGCGGCCCGGCTCGGCGCCCCCCGAGGGCGCGCAGGGAGGGCAGCCATAGCCGGAGGAGGAACAGGTATCCATACTCGGAAACTGGAGCTCAGGGGGCCTTGAAAACGGCAGGGCCGTTTTTTCATACCGGTTCCGTTTTGCTGTTCTCCTGCCGGTTCCGTCGCCGTTGTTTGACCGGTTCCGGCTCCGGTTCCAGTCTTATTTGCCGTTTCCATGTTCAAGGGACATTTTTTGGAAACGGTGGAAATCGGCCCTGCCGTTCCCGGGGCCCACAAAGGAGCATATACATTACCAGTGGCGGGCGGTTGTTCAATGCTAGAACTTTTTTGAGGGTCGGGGGCGACGTCGGGGTGGTGTGGTGTATACTTGTTGCCCCGCTTTCCCAGGGAAACATCGAAAAATGTATACACCAGGATCCCGTATACACCAGGATCCGCGTTCCTGTGCGAACTTCAGCGCAGGGTCGGAAAATGCGTCGGTGCATAGATCGGGAGCGGCAAAGAGGGGGGTGATGACTAGGGGGGGGGGATATCATGGCGCGGGCCATGATATTTCTTCAGATTTCATGGCGCCTCTTCTTATTCCATTACGTCCCTGGCCCCCCCGCTGGGCCGCGCACATGCCGCCGGTCATGATTTGCACCCCCCCCCTCTTGGACACCCCTGTCTTGGCCGCTCCCGAATAGAGTTCGATTCCTCACATACCGTCACCCTTCCCTCGTTCTCGCCCCTTTTGGGGCCTTCTGAGAGCCCCTCGTCGCCACCGCTGGGTTCGCCTCGAAGTCCTGGGAGAGGCACGGGGAGTAGCGGTGTTGGTACAGTGTTGGTTTCCCCAAGCAGGCGGCGTGAACATCATGTCTCGGAGGTCCGCGGAAAGCGCCGGAGGCGCCGCCATGGGAGCCGAGTGCAGATCCAAGAAATCCACCCAGAGTTCCGAGAAATCAAGCACGTGCATGCCGCTCGCAGTGTTCCCTCCAGACAAGACCTGGCACGTGCTTAGTTCCACGCCCACTGGAGTTCAGTCGCGCGCGTCCCTCTACAGTGGGGAATATGCAAGAATAGTAAAGACATAGTCCGGGGACGATTTGTTGCCTAGTTGTATATATTGAATAAGATGTCTTGAGTCTTTGTTTTTCTTCCGTCCAAAATCCGCCTGTAGGGGGACACGCCCGACCTGACACTGAAGCGCGTGGGCAGCGGCCCGTGGAAGGAGGCCACCCGCGCGGGCCTGGACGCGAGTGGGTTTGGGCTCCACGGTTTCTGTCGCACGCCATGCCTCGAGTTAAGTCGGGCCTGTCCCTCTACAGCGGGAAAACTCAAAACAAGTCCATGAATGGTCCAGGGACGATTCTTCCATTTATTGATTTTACTCTATTTATTTATACATATATACACATATATATATATATATATACAAGACTGCATTGGCGCTTCGCGCCATGCGCTTTGTTCCAGACCCTCCCTGGCAAAGCAATAAAGCATCGCTTGCTTCAGCGGGGGGGACCTCGAAGCCTGGACGGGCGCCCGGCCAATTTTTCTAATGTCCCTGGTTCCTCTTGACACCGCGTTCGACGATGCGCTTGCGCGCTTGTGCGCAGGAGTGGGGACAGACTTATGTTGTTTTCACGCGCGAAGGTCCTTTGAGGAAGTAGAGAGCGTTCACATGACGGGCCGAAGAAGTCGCAGTAGCTCCGAACAAATCGATGTTTGGTCGCTTCCTGAATGCTTGGGGGGCTCCAGGCACTCATGACATCTTCGGTAGTCGAACTTCAAATCTAGATCCATTACCTGTCTCTCTCGATCGAGGAGCTTCAACCTCGAGCCTCAAGCGTGGAACCAAAATCGTAGTGTCGGCTCGATGTACTTCGTAGGAAAACGCCGCCTGGGCGTTTTGGGGCTCTTTTGGGCCGTCCTGGGGACTTTTGGGGCCGCCCTGGGGCCTCCTTGGCCGTCTTGGGGAGCTGGTGCCCTCCAGAGGCCTTCTGAAGCCATCTAAGGCCCGCTTGGGGCCTCCAGTGGCCTCCTCTGGGGTCTCCCATGGCTTTCGTGGGTCTCTCTTGGGAACCTGGGGGCATCTTGGGCTTCTTGCGGGCAGTCTCGGGGCTCTCTGGGGCAGTCTTGGGGCCCTCTTGGGCCGTCTTCACACCTCTGGGGGGCCTTTTGGGCCGTCTTTGGGCGATATCGGGGGCCCATCGGGCCGCTTTGGACGCTGCGACATCCCAAACAGCTGATATGTTAAGCTTATACGCTTTCGCGAGGGAATGGGACGATTGTTGTTTCTTCGGGGCTCTCGTAACAGCTTGGGGCGTCATGGGGGCCTCTTGGTCCGTCTTCAGACCACTGAAGTTCCTATCGGAGCGCTCTTATGTTGTCCTGGGTCTTTCTTGCGCCTCTCCGATGACCTCTCTGATCGCCTTGAGTCTGCTCGCAAGGCCCGGCAACGCGCCCTGGGGGGGAGGGAGGAGGAGGAGGAGGAGGAGGAGGAGGAGGAGGAGGAGGAGGACGAGGACGAGGACGAGGAGGACGAGGAGGACGAGGAGGAGGAGGAGGAGGAGGAGGAGGAGGAGGAGGAGGAGGAGGAGGAGGAGGAGGAGGAGGAGGAGGAGGAGGAGGAGGGAGGGAGGAGGAGGAGGGAGGGAGGGAGGGAGGGAGGGAGGGAGGGAGGAGGAGGAGGAGGAGAAGGAGGGCGGGGCAGGGTCGGAGTCCCCGGCGCTCCCCGTGCGGTGGCCGGCTCGCCGTGCGGGCCTCCTGCCCGGTGGCCCGCCGCGGCGCGCCCGCTCGGCAGGCCCAGCGCTGCCGCACCCCCCTTTTCGGTGCGGAGGAGCGCGCTCGGCCCTGCAGGAGGGGGAAAAAGACACTCAGACAGGAGGAGGAGGAGGAGGAGGAGGAGGAGGAGGAGGAGGAAAAGGAAAAGGAGGAGGAAAAGGAGGAGGAGGAGGAGGAGGAGGAGGAAAAGGAGGAGGAGGCTGAGGAGGAGGCTGAGGAGGAGGGCGGGGCAGAGTCGGAGTCCCCTAGGAGGGGGAAAAAGACACCCTAGGCTTAAGTCGGGCCTGCCCCTCTATTCTGCAAGAGGAAGATTCCAGAACAGAAGAACACATCGGGCGACGATGTCTTGACTACTTTGCCCATTCGTGGGGTATTTTTGGAATAGGTTTCATTTTCGCCCAAACTCCCCCCAGGCCTCCTAGATGGGGTTGGAGTAGATGGGGCCGGAGGATCGCTCCACAGACACGATGCATCGGCGACACCCCAGGCAAATATTGAGAAATATGGGGAAGGTGGGGGGGGGTGGGGGGGGCGAAAGCCTAGAAGATGCGGGAGCATATGGGGAAGCCTGCGAGTTAGTGACTATCTGTTCGTGTGTCCCAGGGCCCCTTCGGCCTTGCTCGGCCTTGCAGGAGGGGGAAGAGACACTCTAGGCCTCCTAGATGGGGTCGGAGCAGAGGGGGCCGGAGGATCGCTCCGCATCGCCAATGCATCGGCGATGCGGCTCGATGCGGAGCCCGATTTGCTTCACGTCGATGTCGCCGATGCATCGCCGACGTCGACGATGTATCGCCAGTGCATCGCCGATGCATCGCCGATGCATCGTCGGTGTATCGGCGATGCGGCGCGATCCTCCGACCCCATCTACTCCGACCCCATCAGGGAGGCCTCTAGACGCATAGACACAATGCATTGTCGGCTCCCCGGGACGATATGGGAAGATATGGGAAGGGAGGGAAGGCGAAAACCCAGAAGATGCGGGAACATATTGGGAATCCTGTTCTTTGTCCATTCATCTGTGTGTCCGCGGGGGCCCCTTCAGCCTTGCTGTGTGGCTGGCCGAGCCCTGCGAGGAGCATGTTCATTCCAGACGCCTCTTGCTGACGGACCCGCGGGCAAAGCGAGTTGATGCCGTGGCTCCACTGAACGTCTGGCCTGTTCGCCAGGCATCGAGCAGATCTCGTCCTGGACGCACTGCCAAAGCATCGAGCCTTTCGCGACCCAGTGGTGTCTGCACCCCGGGTATCGGCTATCATTTCCCCCCCCTCCCCCCCCCAATCGGCTGACCCAGGCTCTCGCGGAAAGAAACATAAAAATGACTATGATCTCCAGGTGGCGGCGGCGGTGGCTTTGGAGGCGGCGGGATCTTCTGACGCGCAGATGGGAGCCCGTGACCGCGCGGGTAGGCGCCCGGTGTCCACTACAATTCTAGGTTTAAGTCGGGCGTGTCCCTGTACAGGAGGAATGTTCAAAAATAGTCGACAAAATCGCCTGGGGACGATTTCTGGAGTATGTTTGATCATTTTGATGTTTTCCCTGGTATTGTCTATCTTTCGTCCCAAATCCGCCCGTAAGGGGATAGGCCCGACCTAATTCTAGTTGTTCATTGCCATCGAGATCCCCAGCGACGACAATTCACTGCTTCGTTTTCAGCACACCACTGGTTTGGTCCTTCATGGGAGCATCAGAGGGTCCCAAGATTCCTTGCGGTTTTAGGGGCTTCGTCTGGATTTCGGCGGATGTGGTTAACAGCTGGACGGAGTCTGAACGAAGTCTGGACGAAAGGGTCAAGAGGGTTGGTTGACATTTGGACGACGTCCCGTCGACATCACGTCTATGATGGGCGCCTTTGGGCCTTAAGGGGGCCACTACGTTGCGCCAAAGGTTTGATGACCCCTTTGTCGGTGCGCGGCGGAGATCTCTGTCGAGGTCCTCGCCCGCCCCCCAGGGTGCGGGCTGCAATCCACACCCGTAGCAAAGCACATCCTTCAGAGTCATCGAGAGTGTTTCGGTAGAAAAGCATGGGAGCCTGACATACCCTCTTGATTCCGTCTTTAGCGTCGATTCGCGTCGATTAGCGTTCGGGAGTTGGTGATATAGCGTCGACTAGCGTCGATTAATCGTAGGCTAGCGTCGATTAGCGTCGATTTAGCGTCGATTTAACGTCGAGTAGCGTCGATTAGCGTCGATTCGCAAGAGCCGACAAGGTGGGTATGGGAGGCTCCCACGGTTTGCCACCGAAGGAAGATCATTACAATCCTAGCTTTTCATTCCTATCGAGATTCCCAGCGATGTCAGGCGACTATTTCGTTTCTTCTTCGTACCGCAGCGCGCATCGGACATTGCATCGTTCTCTTCGCCGTCGTCTGTCTTGGATGGAGCAAGAAACGCTTCAGACGAGTCAGCGACTCGCGAATTTGTTGAACACATCAAGCATCGAGCAGCTCATTATCAGCGTAATATGTGGCGCAAGATGATTGTTAGAGTGCAACCGACGTGGAGGAGGGGGAAGTCCGACCGCCCGGATTTGACGCCTCCATGCCCAACATTTCCTGCGTGGAGGAACAGTGGATGGGGAAGGGTGATAGGTGTCCTGGTACGGTCAGCAACATTTGATTCGCATGTCTTGTTGCGTGGTATGGCCCACCAGGCTCCGACGCAACACGTGAAGCATTTCCCAGTCCCCAAGCATCAACGTTCCGAGCTTTTCACATACTCCCGGCCCACGAAGCAGAGCGACACGCTATCAGCTTGCAAGGCATAGCGTGTCGCAGGGGTCGCCGTCGCAGAGGAACGGCGCCCTAACGAACGCGAGCAATTCCTATACAAGCATCCGCTCCGAGATTGTTACCAGTCATTCTCTTCCGTCGTCCCTGCTTGTCCGCGGGGTGTGGTGAAATGACTGAGTTTGACATGGCAGACAGGCCGCTCGTGATTGCTCCCCGTGGACTTCCATACGTCGGGGTTTACTGGGACGAGCCTGGAGCCGCGACGACTCGGCAGTCGCCGCCCTATGCCTCGCGGCCCGCCCATTGGGCAAGCACCGTGTCCAGCCTCGCCGTACCGTGGGTTTACGATGTTGGGCACTGCGTTGAGTCCCTCACCCGCTGTTGTGATAAGCATGTCAGTGATACCTGAGACCTCTGAGCATGCATCGGTCCTCCAGGTGGCCGTCAGTCAGTCCGTCAGTCAGTCAGCCAGTCATCAGAAGGGGGGGGGGGGACACACAGAGGCACAATGAGTCGTCGGCTCCCAGGAAAATATGGGAACTTATGGGAAGATATTGGAAGTGGGGGCGAAAACGAAAACCCAGAAACTATTAGACAGCAGGGGGGATCCTTGGATTTGTGTGTATTTATGTTCTTGCACAGGGTGTCTAGAGCTGCGACCGCTTTATTCCGCGTCGCACCCCCCCTCCGCGTCCCCAGCGCCAGAGTGGGACCCCCGCGCCGTGGCTCTGTGCCCCGAGCCCCCCCGCGTCCCCAGCGCCCCAGCGGGAGCTCCGCCCACTGCCCCCTCCGCCACGAACGCTTTGTTCCGCGTCGCGCACCCCCCCCCCTCCCCGCGTCCCCAGCGCCAGAGTGGGACCCCCGCCCCGTGGCTCTGTGCCCCGAGCCCCCCCGCGTCCCCAGCGCCCCAGCGGGAGCCCCGCCCATTGCCCCCTCCGCCACGAACGTTTTATTCCGCGTCGCGACGCACACCACCTCCCCCACCTCCCTCCCCGCGTCCCCAGCGCCCCAGTGGGGGCTCCGCCCCGTGGCCCCTCCGCCCCGACAATTTGATCCCGCGTCGCGACGCACACCACCTCCCCCCCCCCGTCCCCAGCGTCCCAGTTGGACCCCCGCCTCGTGGCCCTATGCCCCAAGCCCCGCCCAGCGCCCCCTCCCACTCCGAGCATTTTATTCCGCGTTGCGACGCACACAACCTCCCCCCCCCTCTGGCCCCGAGGGGCGATGTCTTGCCCCCTCTCTCCCCCTCCTCCTCCACCTCCTCCTCCTCCTCCTCCTCCTCCTCCTCCTCCTCCTCCTCCTCCTCCTCCTCCTCCTCCTCCCCTTCCTTTTCGTGCAAGAGCCATGGCACACGTGCCACTAGTTTGTGTGTCCCTGGGCCCCTTCAAGTCAGTCAGTCAGTCAGTCCTTCGTCTCCTCCTCCTACTCCTGCTCCTCCTCCTGCCCTCTGCGTGGGGGAGGGCGGTGCAGGCTGGGCCAGAGAGCACCCAGCAGCGCGAGCGAGCACCCTGGACGAAGTGACCTCAGCAGGGCCAAACCAGATCGCATTGACGTGGCAAGGCTCTGGGATTCAGGCGGGCGTGTCCCTCTACAGGCGGAACGTTCACACATAAGGAAAAATAGTCGGGGGGGGCTATTGTTTGAGTGTTTTTGAGCATGTGTGGTGCATGTTTCGAACATTTGTTGATGTTCATCCGAAGTGCGCCCGTAGGGGGACATGCCCGGCCTAAGCCTAAACGAAGTGGCCTCGGCAAGGCCGAGTCCGATCTTGGTAGTGCGGCAAAGGCTCCAGCAGCTGCGAGGCAGTCCCGAGCTCGGCCCGCTCGCTCTCGGCCGATCGATGGATGCAAGCAGTGGCGAAGCGCCCAGGCTCGCCCATAGCCCTACCAAACCATGTTCTAAGAGCCTGTTTGTGGTTTCCACGACATGTGCTTAGAACACCATGTTCTAAGAACCTGTTTGTGGTTTCCACGAAACGTGCGTAGAACATTTCTGGCGGAGCCTGTCCCGTCTTACCACATCGGGCCTACGTTCTAAGAACATTGCTTTGGTCCTTGGAACATCTCTTCGGGTTCTAGAGCCGTTCGGGGTATGACTACAGGAATGCCGGGACGGTTGGTCCCTGCCCGATCGATCCCCACTCGCTGCAGCTGCCTGCTCGGGCGCGGCGGCGACGCCGCGGGGAGCGCGGGGCGCGCGAGGCGGCAGGCTCTGCCCCCGCCGACGCCCGTCGGGCCCGCCTGCGGCCCCCCTGCGGGGCATCCGCCGAAGGCATCTGTACACCACCACCGTGCCAGGCCGGAGCCGCTCTGGGCCCCAGCATGGTGCACAGACCCTCTTGGCCTCGGCCAGGAGGGCGGCGTGTGCACCATCCTGGGGCCCAGGCTGGCCCTGCCTGGGCACGGTGGTGGTGTATAGATGCCTCCTGCGAAGGGCAGGCTCTCGGGCCGCTCCGGGGGGGGGGGGCTCTCGGGGCCGCGCGCTCCGGGCGGCCCTGGCGCTGTGCTGCGGGGCCTCGCTTCGGCCCCTCCTTCGCGGGGGGGCGACCTCCTGCGCACGCGGTGGTTGTGGCAGGCGGTGTGGTCGACGACCGCCTACCGAACCGAGGCTCCCACCTTGTACGACGATCTCACCACACCGCCTACCACAACCACCGCCTACCACCGGCCTCCTCGTTTCGGCCTCTCGTCGGAAGCTGGAGCATCTACACTACCAGTGGCGGGCGGTGTTTCAATGCCAGGACATTTTTGAGGGTCGGGGGCGACGTCGGGGTGGTGTTGTGTATAAGTTTTTTGTCCGTCTTCCCGGGAAAGCGGCGAACAATGTATACACCAGGCTTCCGTATACACCAGGATCCGGTCTCCTGCGAAAGTTGCAGTGCAGGGCCGGGAAATGCGTCGGTGGACAGAGTTCGGTTTTTCCCAACCATCCTGTGGTGTTGGGTCCTCGTTTTGAAGAGACGGTGCCCCGCGTTCCCCTCCTCCTCTCCTCTCCTCCTCTTCCCCCTCCTCCCTCTTCCCATCAGCATCATCATCATCATCGTCATCATCATCATCGTCATCATCATCATCGTCATCACCCACCATCATCGTCATCATCACCATCATCGTCACACTTCTCACACGTTTCGTGGCCCCATAGGGAGCTCCACCGAAGGCCCCAGTGCTGCCGCCCGCATGCGTCAGCCACACCCAATTCGGCATACCCCTCACACGTTTCGTGGCCCCATGGGGAGCTCCACCGAAGGCCCCAGTGCTGCCGCCCGCATGCGTCAGCCACACCCAATTCGGCACACCCCTCACACGTTTCGTGGCCCCATAGGGAGCTCCACCGAAGGCCCCAGTGCTGCCGCCCGCATGCGTCAGCCACACCCAGTTCGGCACACCCCTCACACGTTTCGTGGCCCCATAGGGAGCTCCACCGAAGGCCCCAGTGCCGCCGCCCGCATGCGTCAGCCACACCCAATTCGGCACACCCCTCACACGTTTCGTGGCCCCATAGGGAGCTCCACCGAAGGCCCCAGTGCCGCCGCCCGCATGCGTCAGCCAAACCCAATTCGGCACACCCCTCACACGTTTCGTGGCCCCATAGGGAGCTCCACCGAAGGCCCCAGTGCCGCCGCCCGCATGCGTCAGCCACACCCAATTCGGCACACCCCTCACACGCTTTCGTGGCCCCATAGGGAGCTCCACCGACGGCCGCAGTGCCGCCGCCCGCATGCGTCAGCCACATCCAATTCGGCACACCCCTCACACGTTTCGTGGCCCCATAGGGAGCTCCACCAAAGGCCCCAGTGCCGCCGCCCGCACTCGTCATCCACACCCCTCACACGTTTCGTGGCCCCATAGGGAGCTCCACCGAAGGCCCCAGTGGTGCCGCCCGCATGCGTCAGCCACACCCAATTCGGCACACCCCTCACACGTTCGTGGCCCCATAGGGAGCTCCACCGAAGGCCCCAGTGCCGCCGCCCGCATGCGTCAGCCACACCAAGTTCGGCACACCCCTCACACGCTTCGTGGCCCCATAGGGAGCTCCACCGAAGGGTCCAGTGCCGCCGCCTGCATGCGTCAGCCACACCCAATTCGGCACACCCCTCACACGTTTCGTGGCCCCATAGGGAGCTCCACCGAAGGCCCCAGTGCCGCCGCCCGCATGCGTCAGCCACACCCAAGTCGGCACACCCCTCACACGCTTTCGTGGCCCCATAGGGAGCTCCACCGAAGGCCGCAGTGCCGCCGCCCGCATGCGTCAGCCACATCCAATTCGGCACACCCCTCACACGTTTCGTGGCCCCAGCCCGCATGCGTCAGCCACACCCAGTTCGGCACACCCCTCACACGTTTCGTGGCCCCATAGGGAGCTCCACCGAAGGCCCCAGTGCCACCGCTCGCATGCGTCCCGCACACCCATTTCGGCACCTCCACCAAACACAGCGTTTCGTGGCCCCACAGGGACCTCCACCGAAGGCCCCAGTGGTGCCGCCCGCATGCGTCACCCCCACCCCAACACAGCATTTCGTGGCCCCACAGGGAGCTCCACCGAAGGCCCCAGTGGTGCCGCCCGCATGCGCCACCCCCACGCAGCACAGCGTTTCGTGGCCCCACAGGGAGCTCCACCGACGGCCCCAGTGGTGCCGCCCGCATGCGTCACCCCCGCCCAGTACAGCGTTTCGTGGCCCCACAGGGACCTCCACCGAAGGCCCCAGTGGTGCCGCCCGCATGCGTCACCCCCACCCAGCACAGCGTTTCGTGGCCCGACAGGGAGCTCCACCGAAAGCGGCACCCGCAATGCGATATTCACAACTGCGCATGGTTGGGTCCTTCGCCAGGATAATTTTTTTTATCTTTTGCGTCCGAGGGCGCTCTTGCCCGGTCGGGCGCCTTGGGATGGCCGTGCTGTTGCTCCCTGGGGGCCGTTGGGAGAGATCTCCTGGGAGGCTGCAGGGCCTCTTCCCCCCCCCTCACTCTGCGGGTGTTGCGGGGGCGTCTCGGGCCCTCCGTGGCCCCTCTTTAGGGCCGTCCTGGGGCGCTCGGGCGGGACTCGTGGGCCGTCTGCTGTTGATGCGAGGGGCCCGAGACGGCGAGGGTGCCGAAATGCCCCCAGGTAGTGCATGCACTCGATCTGGGCATCGCGCGGACGTGTGCGGTTTTTTCTCGGCGAGGACCCTGGAGGAGCCAGCCTTTCGGGCCCTCTGGCGGGAACATGCGCGCTGGAAGCCGGACAACTCGTATTGACCCAGAAGGGGGTCCAGCGACAAGGGGGTGGTGCAATGGATTTGGTGCAATAGTTTTGTGGGGTTGCAGCACATCTGGGGCGCGCAATACATCTCTGGGCGCAAGATGTATGGCTGGCTTTTCGCGTGCAATACACTACTTGCAGCACAATGCAATCTAGTGTTCCGGCGCAGTACATTTGCAATACATATGCCCACGAAAATTATTGCACCACCCGCTTTCAGCTGGACTTAGGTCGGGCATGTCCTCCTACAGGCGGATTTCCTAGGAAAAATTTAGAAGATTCCCCAGATGTTTAAAAGGTGTTAAAACAGAATCAAAATTAGTCCCAGGCGTTTTCTTGACAATTTTTGAGTATTCCCCATGTAGAGGGACAGGCCCGACTTAAAGCTGCACCCCCTTTTGGGTCGCCCAAAGGACAGCGCGCGGGGTTAGGGGGCGTCCGAGCGCTGGCGAGCTGGTGCCGGGTGCGTCGCGGTGTCCACGGGCGGGCGCCCCGCAATCGCCCCGCGGGCGCCGCCCGCGCCGGCTGGGTCCGTCCGGGCTGCACAGCGGAGCGGGCGCTGCGTGCGTTGCATCACGCAGCCTGGGATCTACCCATACAGGCCAGCCAGAACTGGGGGCGCTGTGGTCCTTACCCCCCTGGGGGATCCATCGATTTCGCCGCCCCTCTCGAGAGACGCATACATACATAAAACACACTGGGGATCTAGACATGCAGAAAACGACGCGAAGATCGGGACAAAGTCGGATCGGGATAGCTCGAAATCTCGGAGAATCGGCGGGTTTGGAGGATGTATTGGGCGCCGCGGCCGCTCGAGCGCTCCGGAACGCTCTGGAGCGATTTATCCCGATCCTAGCCCTGTTTTAATACAGGCCAGCCACACAACTGGGGGCGCTGTGGTCCTTACCCCCCCTAGGGGGCCCATCGATTTCGACGACCCGCTCGAGAGATCGTCGGTGCGATGGGTTCCCCCAGGGGGGTAAGGGCCACAGCTCCCCCAGTGATGGCTGGTCGGACATATCGCCACATCGCGCGCTCCAGACCGGCCTTCGCTGTTGCGAGTCGGAGGAGTTGGCAGCGGAAGCCGGCGGAAGGAAGACGAGGTCGTCTCCGCCGGCGGAAGGCGGGCGGGAGGCGGCGGAAGCAACACATAGTCTCCCCAGGAGATGGCAGCATTTGTTGGTTCAAGGGCTTGGATCCCGCCGCACGTGCTCACACTCCATACAATGCTGCACACAAAGACTGCACCACATAGGTTGAAGAGCATCCATTAGACCGCATAAGTTGCACGATCTAGCTTGCACCACACTGCATCGCTTGTACCACCTTGCTCGCATGACAATAGTCGTTCCCATATAATTATTATTCTATATAGTGCCCCACCTTTGTTGCACCACATAGCTTGCGTCTCACAGCATTCACTACAGAGCTTACATTCCATACCTTGCGTCTCACAGCTTTACAAGGTTCAGTAGCTATTCGTTTGTGGCCCTTGTGTTAATTTGTTATTGGTTGTTTCTTGTGGCCCTCCTGGAAGTCCTCTTGCAGCCGCCATCGTTTGCCGCGCTACTGTGGATGATTTGGGGGGCCGTCGTGGGCACCCTCGGACTTTCTGGAAGCGGCCGATGCCACGGGCAGGGGGGGGGGGTTCTAAGGGCCAGGCGCGGCGCAAGGTTTCGTCAACCAAGCGGGTCGCGCATGTGATGCTCGATGCGTCGGGGGCGGGGGCAGCTGCCACTTCGCAGGATGCCAGAGCGTTGGTATCTCTTCAAGCAGCGCCGGGCCGAAACAGTATGCCAGTGGGCCCCGATTTGCGGGCAGTGCAGCTTTCCCTTTGGGGCCTCGCCTCGCCGTTGTTCTTGCTCAGCGCGTTGGCGAGGCCATGCGGCTAACGGTGCCGATCTGTTGGCGATGGCATCTCCCAGCGCAGCGTGACTCTCTCGAGGCCCACTCCGCCGATGGCTCTGTCGAGCCCTGCCCTTCGAGAAGCCGAGGCCTCCTCGCGCCGTGGAGCGGCCACGCCGGACGGGCTTTGGCAACTTCCAGTCTCTCGGGGCCCCTGCCGAGGCCCCCGGGGACTGTCAACAGCGGCTCGGGGCGGACAGCGGGGCTCGGGGAAGTGGTCTACAGTGGAGGCCCATGCCAAGAAGCACCCTGCTTGCCTCCAGGGAACACTGGGCTTCTTGGGTGTTGGTTTTTGGCTACGGGGGGCGTGACGTTCCCACACCGAAGATCAATAGACGTCCTAGGGTCTCAGGCTTGGGTCTCTTGTGGAAGGTTTCTTCTGTTCGAGCTCCTACTGTGTCTAAACCTCCTGGGATCCACGTGGTGGAGCAACCCCGACGTGCGAGGTGTCGGGAGTCGGGTACCGGGAGCATCCCATGGGGACAAAGGAGTGCAGGAGCACGCGCGAGTCAACAAAGCAGGAATAGAGGAAGGAACCTGCGAACGTGGGAGCGCTAGCCACACAATTTGCTGGGGATCGTCCTGTCTGTGTTGGTTTGATTTCAGTGTGTAGTTGGGTCCGTGCGCGGCAGTTGCCGGTTGTATACAGTTTGTGTAGCTGCATTTGCAGAGCTCGGAGCTTAGCGCGGACAATACAGTTGTGCCAGGCTCGTCTTACCTTTGTCGAAACAAGACCGTGCATTGCCAGCGTGGTGAGTGAGCCGTGAGTTCTGAAGTTCTTTGTATGGATACCGCATGACCTCGATTGCTCAATGAGGGTGTCCTGATTGCTCGAGCAGACCGTTGACAGGTGTGCATTGCATGAGATGCCCGTCCTAGTTGTACAGTCCAAAGTCTTCTGCATCATATGCCGTTTTCGTGCATCACAGTTTAGGGTTGCCGCATTCGTGACTTGTGGTTTGAGTTGTGTTTTCGTTCCCCTCAGTCACGGTTGATCGTTGGCCTCATCGTTCTCCCACAGAAGTAGGGCGATCATAATCATTGCTAATATGTCGGTTCGTTCGATGCACAGCCCCTCTTCCTTTCCGAGTCACGTCTTATTCTCTCAGCGTTTCGGAAGGATGGCCGTCGTTTGATGCGTTGTCCGCATGGTATCCCACCCCCGAAGCACTTGTGTAGCTGATCCCACTCCCGCAGGTGTAGGTTTACCAGCCTCGAACTTATCCCTGTCCCTAAGGTTGACACGCCAAAAGGCGATGACAATCTTAGGGATTCGCCATCAAAAAACAAGGGAATCCCTAAGATTTGCATCGTGATGAGGAGATGCCCAGCATAGGGATAGGGATTTGTTCCAGGCTGGTAATAGGTGTGCCGCCCCAGTCATGTTTGGTTGTTCGTCTGCGTCGGTCGTATTGGCGGAGTCGCCTGCGCCGCCCACCGCCTCGGCCGCGCCCTGCACCCGCGGTGTAGGCGCCGTGGGAGCAGGGCCCAGCGCGAGAGGAGTGCTCGCTTACCTGTGCTGCATACCCGCCACTTGGCATCGCTCGGACGTGTGTATTTTTCCTTCGGCGAGGGCCATCGAGGAGCATCCTTGATCATTTGGCGAAAAAAACAAGCACTAAACCGGAAAAAGCACAGGGAATGGACGTCCGAGCGATGCACAGTGCATACCCGCCAGGTGGTGTATATCTCGCACGCCTGTTCTCACGAGTTTGAAGCAAGGGCCGGCCACAACGCGGTTTGGCTTGGTGTGGGCCCTTGTTGTGCTTTTCGTGCCGTGTTTCGTTGTTGTTTCTTTTCGTTGTTCGTTGTTGTTTTGAACGCCCCGTTTCGTCGTTAGTTTCCGTTGTTGTTTCGAACGCCCCGTTTCGTCGTTAGTTTCCGTTTGGCAGCGGCTCCGTTCAGACGTTCGTTATTCACGTTGGGTTTCGTTTCGTTGTTCGTTGTAAACGACATTTCGTTTTCAACATCGTTGTGGTCGGATTTTGGTTTGAAGTAGTGCATTCTTGCCGACCACCTCATTTTCCCATTGCCGTCTCGGTTGTCTTCCCTGCTCCGAACCGTCTCTGTCAGGGCTGCTTCCGAGAGGCACCCGAACGCTTGGGAGAAAGGGGCGGGGCAGATATTTGGGAAGCAACTATGATTAAACTATGCACATTCTGAGATCCGCCCGCATTTCTCGGATTGTCGTTGGATCCCCCTCCCTGCGCGCCAAGGGGTTACGCGCCAATCCGAGAAGTCCTCGCGGACCTCAGAGTTTTTATGCTTACGTCATTGTTTGTTCCCTTAGATCTTCGACTTTTGTTTCACATGATGTGGCACGAGCTCCTTCGTTCTTTTCGTTCAGAGGCCGGGATTCGGCAAGGCTGCAGGGATGCGCGGGGCTCTTCCTGGTCAAGAATCGCATTCGGAAGCATTGTTCCCAGACATCGTGAAGTACCTTTCTCGGAGCATGTATCTGTCACCCTCTGGGCCACAGCGCGCGTTATGCCTCCCCCCCCTCCCCCCCATTGTTTGCAATAGTTATATCCACATCCAGTGCGTCTTAGAGTCTTGGGCTCTCTTCCCCAGAAACCGTAGACGCACTGGATATGGATAAAAATCTGGCCCCAAGAGGCTTGATTTGATCCATATCCAGTGCCCCTCGGCATTGCGGCACCTCTTCCTAAAAAGTCCAAGACGCTCTGGATATGGATATAAGTACTGCCCGCACCCATCACGTAAATGCCCCCCCTCCCCCCCAGTGCGTCCCCGGTGCTGCCGCAGTGCGTCCGCCGGCGCAGTGTGTGGTGCCCGCGGGGGGGCGTTACGTTACAGTGAGCGGTTTGGATAAGGAACACTTGCTTTCGGACGTTCCTCAGGCTTGCATGCGTTTTTTCCAGCTCCTTACGCGTTATGTATTATTTAGCGTTCCTTACGCGTTAGTCCTTAGGGTAAAAAGAGGCTTCGTTCCTCATCTATCGTTCCTTAGGTCAGGCCGATGACTGTATGCCCCCCCGCCTCCCCGCCATAACGCCCGTGATCGCCGCGAGTGGAAAAAAATGCTCTCGTGCCCACGTGGCGGCGCCCCTCTATGGAGGGCGTCGCCGCATGCCTGGGCTGGCGAGACCAGGCCCAAGAGAGGCGAAGCTCATGTGCGCGGCTGCAGATCAGCACGCAAAGCAGGCCAGAGGGATGCAGGCGAGCAGGTCCCTGTGCCCAGACTCGGGGTTCCGGCGGGAAGCATGCACGCGGAATTTCCATCGCCAGTTGGTGAGGCCTTCTGGGTTGTGCACGGACAGCTCCCCTGGCAGTCCCAGCCAGCCTGCACGGGCCCCTCGAATGGCTCCATTTCGCTTCGACCGGCCCACCGTGTGTAGTCCAGGGTGGGCTCAACATTCTGGCGCCGCCTCTGGCGGCGCCCCTGGGGCGCTCGGCGCCACAGGGACAGGGCCTCAAGACCGTCCCTGGACTGCAGTCAACGCGCCTAGTAAGGACGCGCGCCTTCATCTAGGGTACCCTTGTGTCCTTGTCTCTGAGGCCCGTCCTTGCCGTTATCACTGGTCGCCCGCCGCCCTAAAAAACCCAACTTCGGCCTCCAAGGGTCTTGCGTCCTTATCACCCGTCCTTAATACACGTTTTGACTGTACTCGGGGGGCCTGTTGAAGCCAGCCGGCACCACCTGGGCGAGCTGTCTTTGCGCAGCCCGTCGCTGCCCCGAAGCGCCCGTGCTGGAGGGCAAAAACGCACCGTGTTCAAAGCTTCCGTTCTCAACACGGTGCGTGTTCGCTCGGCACGTGTTGGTTCACGATTTGAACGTTGAGGAGGGGAAGAAACACTCTTTGATTCGCGGGTCGAGAGCGTACCTCTTCCGGTCGAAGCTAAGCGGGCCGCGCGAAGTTTGAATTCACCAGAGATGGGGGAGGAAAAGGGGCGCGCAGGCTCAGAACGATGCCGGGATGAGGCAAAGCCTCAAGGAGGGGCAGAAACACACAGACACAATGAATCGTCGATTCCCCAGAAAATATGGGAAAAGATGGGCAGTGGGGGGGAAGACAGAAACCCAGAACATACGGGAAATATATGGAATTTGTTTATCTGTGTGTATTTCTTTGTGTGTCCCAGGGCCCCTTCAAGCGTAGCGCGCCAGATGTACGCTGTCGGTCTGCGTGCTGAGCCCTGTGTCCGACACGCCAGGTCGCGTGCTGCGTGCTGGGGCGTCGAAGCCGAAGTTTTTTCTTCCGGCGGCAGATCATGGGAGCTCTGTATACAGTGCCGTTTTTAGTACATGTTCCGCGCGCGGATCATGTATTAAACATGCAGGGGTTTTGCTTTCAAAGCAACGACGAATTCATATTCATCGTGTATTAAATCTCCTAATTGTTTAAGCTCCTATGGATTAAAAACTGCCCTGTACCCTCGGAAGTCCGTCTTGAGCGTCGACCAGCGTCGATTAGCTCCTGGGAGTCGATGAGATCGCGCCGATTTAGCGTCGGTTAGCGTCGATGTCGATTAGCGTCGATTTAGCGACGATTAGCGTCGATGAGGCCGCGCCGATTTAGCGTCGACTCAGTGTCGATTAGCGTCGAGCTAGCGTCGATGAGCGTCGATTCAGCGTCGATGAGCGTCGATTCGCACAGGCGGACAAGATTGTGTGGGAGGCTCCCGCTTGTTGCCACCGAAGATTGACCAAACAGTTTCCGAATCTTCGGCTTCCGCTTTGGCTCCGGCTCCGTCTGGCCCGCGGGCCGTCCGGGCGCGCGCCCGAGGAGGGCGGGGTGCCCGAGCCCAGCTCCAGGGAAGGGACACTACGGTACGATCGCGTCGTGTCGACCGGCGGCGACCCCGCCGCCGGCGTTCAATGTTGAACGCCGCCGGCGACCCAGAGTCGGTCGATGTTGAACGATCTGACGCTTCGGGAACGGCCGATCGTTCAAGGTTGAACGATCCCCGCGGTGTCAGGAACCAATGCCTGGGTCGTCACGACACGAACCTTCTTCGGGTATAGCCAGGACCCTAGTTAAGGGGACCCGGTTAGTAGTAGGGCCCCAGAGCCTTTAAATTTGCCAGAATCACTAAACCAGGTTTGCCGTAGCTGGTGTTTTTCGGGTAACGGCAGTTCCGATTAGTGGAACGGAGTGGAGGGGCGTCTCCCAGCACACACCCTTGAACCAGGTCCCACTAAACCCAGCTCTGCCAGTGCCCGACTTCTGCACTCGAGCAGGAGATTGTTGATCGTTGTTTGATTCATTGTTCAGGCTCCCAGGAGCTACCGCCGAACCTTCCCACCGTCGTCGCAACCGTCCGGCCGCCGAGGCCCTTGTGGGGGAGGGAGGAGGAGGGAGGAAGAGGAGGAGGAGGAGGAGGAGGAGGAGGAGATTCGTGATCGTTGTTTGATTCCTTGTTTAGGCTCCCAGGAGCCGCCGCCGCACCTCCGCACCGTCGCCGCACCGTGCCGCCGCCGAGGCCGGGGGGACATGGCCCTCGGCGCCGCCTCTGCCGAGAGCCCGACGTGGCCCGAGCCGCGGGCCGCCCCCCCCCCCCCCCGCGGCGCGCCCCAGCGGCTCACAGGGGAACGAATAATCTGGAGGTTGATCGACCTCGTCCTCCTCCTCCTCCTCCTCCTCTCCTCCTCCTTCCTCCTCCTCCTCCTCCTCCTCATCCTCCTCCTCCTCCTCCTCCTCCTCCTCCTCCTCCTCCCCGGAGCTTTAAGCCGGGCCTGTCCCTCTATCGGAGGTGGATAAAGCTCCTA